CTGATGATCCAAAAAATTGGAGGCCCATAGCATGTTTAACAACAATGTACAAATTACTAACGAGCGTATTAGCCAATATACTATATGATCACTGTCACGAGAATAACATAATGGCGTTAGAGCAACGGAGGTGTCGCAGGTATGCCAGGGGCTGTAAAGACCACCTCATGGTCAATAAAGCAATATTAGAGGATGCACACCAATCTCAAAAGAACTTGAGCATGGCATGGATAGATTATCAAAAAGCCTTTGATAGTGTATCACATGAATGGCTTCTCAAAGTACTAGATATTTATAAATGCCCGCCTATCATCAAAAGATTCCTTCAGTTGACTATGCCTTCTTGGAGAGTGATCATGACAGCTCGTGGCTCCCAAAACTCAATAACAACCGAACCGATCTATGTAAGACGCGGAATATTTCAGGGCGACTCTCTCTCACCACTTCTGTTTTGTCTAGCAATAAATCCCCTCTCATTCGTACTAAACAAATATAAAATTAAAGGATATAAACTTAAAGACAGTTATTGGATCAATCATTTGATATATATGGATGACCTTAAAGTTTATGCAAACAATAGGACTAATTTAAAGGTGTTATTAGATAGCGTAGAAATATTTACAAGTGACATAGGAATGAGATTTGGTTTAGATAAATGCAATGTAATACATATTAGTTCAGGATATAGAAGCAACGCTATGGGAGAAGGTCATATACTAGTAAGCGGAGAAATGTTTAAGCACCTAGCCATAGGAGATAGGTACAAATATTTGGGAGTGCATGAGTCAGGAAAAATTGAACATAGTATAATTAGAGATCAAATAACTAAAGAGTATTTTAAAAGAATAAAAAAACTACTGAATACAAGTCTCAACTCGCGTAATCTAATTAAGGGAATAAATACATATGCTTTACCGGTTTTACTCTACTCATTTGGTGTAATAAACTACAAAAATAATGATTTAAAGAAAATAGATGTTAAAACAAGAAAACTGTTAGCTATAAAAAAAGCACATCAACAGAAAGCAGCAACAGAACGATTATACTTACCAGTGACACAGGGACCCCCCTGTGGTTAGTGTTATGTGTATATATGTATATGTTAGTGGTATTATGTGTTTAGAGGTATGTTAAATGTAAAATATGTATACAAAACCCAAATAGTCAAATATAAACAGTATCTAAAAACAGAAAGTGATTATTTAATCAAAACAATAGTTCAACACGACATATGCAAGGACAAGTATTCAATAATAAAGGAAGCACAAGAGATAGAACTAGAACTGCATTTACTACAAGGAAACACACATACTGATAAAGAGATAAAAGAAGCAATAGTAAAAAATTATAATAAAACATGGAGACATAAACAACTACATGGTCAGTTCCCTAAAGACGTACTAGATAGGGCCAACGTAGACGGTGAACTTTCATTTAACTGGATTAAAAAACAGCAAATATGCCCAAGTATAGAGTCGTCAATATTTGCCATACAAGACCAAGTCGTAATGACACGACAACATCAACGTGACATACTAAAACAACCAGTAGACGGAAAGTGTCGCTTATGTGTTCATAAAGATGAAACAACACAACACATCATATCGGGGTGCGAGAAATTGGCGGGGACCTATTATGTCAAAAGACACAATAACCTTGTTCAGTATATCTACTGGTGTCTGGCAAAAAAACACAATATACAGGTCTCTGATCTCTGGTGGAAAGAAACTCTCACCCAACCCCATGTTAAAGAAAACGAATCTGTTAAGATCCTGTGGGAAATGCCCGTTCAAACTGATGTCACCGTTACACACAATAGACCAGATTTAATATATATAGATAAAAATAATAATAAAACATACTTAATAGATATAACTGTACCATCTGATTACAATATAGGAGCTAAGGAAATTGAAAAGCTAAGTAAATACCACCTTCTCAAAACTGAAGTCAGTCGTTTGTGGAACACACAAACGATTATCATCCCGATAGTAATAGGCGCAACAGGAATAGTAGCTAAAAATATTATAAACTACATAAATAAGCTAAATGCCAAAATTGACATCACAATCTTGCAAAAACAAGCAGCCATTCACACATCAAGCATACTCAGCAAAGTATTGGGAGATACCGTATTTGTACAAAACACACAAAATCATCACACTCAAGACACACACCGGTCACCAACCATCCAACAGGCAACTAACACACAACACTCAACAAACACACCAGATTCATACAACACAATTCATACACCAAACACACAATCACTCACAAATTCAGTATACACTCTAAAGAGAAGGCGAGGTAGAAGACGGACATAAAAAAAAATAAAACTGGGGCATACGTACCTTTTTTCCTGTGGGTTACAGGACGGGGTATGTTTTTAAGCCGACATAAGTTGAGAAGGTGAAAACCAATTAAACCTCAATAATATAATATAATATAATTACACGTACATACAGTGAATTATGTTTACATCATTGTATTAAAATACCTTTTACATATTCTTCTAATTAATAAAATGGATATGGACGTTTCAAAAGTAAGTTTTTAATACTTTGATACAAAATTAACATTCGTGCCCCATATAGATAATGTAGTTAAAAAAGCTAACATGATATGCATCCCAGTGCATCTTCTACCGAATTTATCATGGGGAGTGCACTGAAGAGTTGTTCGGATTGATACCTGCTGCTGATTTTCACCACCGTACAACCCGCCATATACTAAAATTTCATCCCAACCATCTGGACCAGTGGCGGTCCTCCACCGTGCGTTTTTCAAGGCACTTTCTCCCGCGCACAACCACTCTTTGGAATCTACTTCCAGCAGCAGTATTTCCAAACCGATACGACAACATAATCTTCAAGAAAAGAGCATATTCCCTTTTAAAAGGCCAGCAACACACCTGCAATGCCGTTGGTGTTGTGGGTGACCATGGGCGGCGGTAGTCACTTACCATCAGGTGAGCCGCATGCTCGTTTGCCCCGTGTTGTAAAAAAAAAATCAATTTTTAGGAGTATAAGAAATACAAAAGATTTCTGTAGTAGTCTAACCAAAATTATATTGTAGGTATAACAGTCTTCTCCGCAATGGAGTACTGTAGCGTAGTCTGGCGTCCACATGTTTTACGCATTGAACGTAACCAAAGGCGATTTTTAAGACACCTCTCGACTCTAAACAACAAAGGAATAAAAACACCTCCTATGTTGACAAGCTGACAAGAAAAAGCTGAGATTTTATTGACGTTTGTATTTAAAATACTATACTAGTATAGTATTATATTATCTGTGCTCATGTTATAGATTGTCCATGAATGCTTTAATTGTTTAACCTGCGAGTTCCGACTAAAATACCTCAAAAACAGATAACACTTTTATGATTTCCGTTAAAAAGAAAACGATGTTAGGAGCCATCTCGTCTATACCCAGATTATGTAGGATTCTAAACGCTCACTGCGATCTGATTAACATCAATTTCGGACCCATTAACAGCAGATTATAACTTATTAAAGAACATTTTAAGCTCTTAAACTGTTTATTGTTAGGATATCTGTCATTGTTAATAATAGATAGATAGATAGATAACCTTTATTACCAGTATTAAGAAAATAAAAAATTAAAACAATAAAAAGAAAAAAAAAAAAACAATTTTGCTGGTAATAGTGCATGTGGTGTTGGCCTGTAAATGATTTTTGCAAAGTTTATTTTTATGTTATTGATGTAAAATGTAAAAAGTTGTAGGTGAACCTTATTAAATAAATAAATAAACACTCAGATTGTAGAATAATCTTCCTGTCGAGGGTTTCCCTAGAGACTACAACATGGGGTTCTTCAAAAAGGGCGTATTTTGAAAAAGGGTATTTTGTTATAATAAAGAAAAATTAAAATAACCTTTTTAAAAAACTTAAAAATTTAAAAAAACCAAGAAGTGAAGCTTTTGTTTTATTGATTAAGACATCGGCTATTATTATATGTGAAAAATATGCCTAATAATAATATTAATATATTAATATGAGTAAATAACGATCTATCTGTCTAATCTATAAATGTATATAAATAAAAATAAATCGCTAAATGTGTTACTTAGCATGAAATTTGAGAACGATTTCGATCAAGTCGGCTATTTATTTTTCTGAGATATTGATTTAAGTTCGATAAAAGTTCTTGTAGAGAGAAAAAGTCGAAAAATGGTCCGGAAAAATGTAACAATTTAATTTTTTCCACACAAACTGTTCCTAATAGCTCTTGTCAGAACGAAACGTCAGAATATAATAAAATTCATCAAAAATATAAATGTGAAAAAGGGAGCCAATTCGATATTAAGGATATGCGTGGTTGTCGATTTCGACGGCAAAAGAATTGAGATCTAAATAGGTGCCAATTCCGCAGATAATCCTGAAATTTATTTATAAGAATTTACCACTTCCTCACAGATAATATAATAGATGTACTAGCTAATATCATAAACGTAAAAGTGAGTTTTTTGTTATCTTATAGCCTTAACTGCATAACTAATAACTATGAAATTTAGTATACACGTACTATATAGAATGAAGAAGGTTATAGGTTACCTTTTATCCTGGTCAGTAAACGTATCCTGATCACACGGACGAAATCACGGGTAAAAGTTAGTAATTAAATAAATTTAAAACAATTACTTTGCTTTTTTCTGGTACAACAAGGTTTTTTATTTAGAAATATAACTTCTTAAATTTGGATAGTCGAATTATTTACTTTTATAAAGTAAATAACTTAGGATAGCAAACGATTTTTTTTTTAAGTATAAAAATAGTAACTTTATGCAAGTGCCTAATGTTATGCGCAAAGGAATTAAATTGATTAGCCAAAGATAAGATAACTTGTATGCGAAAACAAGCGGCTGCTGCGTCGCTAGTTCTTGACTTGACGCGCATTTAGATATCAATGATTAATACCATAGATTTAGTATATGCTTCATAATCTAAGATTAATACATAATTGTTTATTTATATGAAGCAATTGGCGGGCGTGGGAACGCCTGCCGCCGCGCGACGAGCAAACGCGCAAACATATTCTCCGCGGTGAACAACTTCTTCGCTGATTCGCCGCTGGTGAATCAGCTCAAGGGTATCATGGTAAGATTACTAAATTTTTATTTTCTTAGTAATTAAATGATATCGTACAGACCGTAAACTCTCCTTATGGGGAGGCCTATATTTAGCAGTGGATGGTTAACGGCTGATGATGATGTACAGACATCATGTACCATCGATGTATCAAGGGCGTTCCTTACTTATATTGTAAATTGAGTTTGGTTGTTCTTAGCGCTTTAACAGCTTAACCAATCGCTTCAATATCAGTATATACGTACTATTTGGGATGTAGAAAGATATAGACTAATTTTAATCTCTGTCAATCAGCATATTCCGATCACGCTTTGGGTGGAAAGGAATTGTTAGTAATGGAGACTAAGAATCCCGTTGCTAGCAATATACCCAACCAGGTCGACCTCCTCGCGGTTCCCCCTGGGAACTATCATGGTTAATTCCTGATAATGCTAACGCCCATCATGATGAATTCATCAGGAATGATCATCATGAAAACAGGCCAGTTATAGCCTGTTTTCATTCTCATCGATCACCCTTCACGGGTGCTCTGCCAGCGTATCCCGTTAGCGCAGGCGGGGTTACCATACCATTTTCACCCATCAAAAAAAAATCCTGATCACGCTTATGAAGTCACGGGTAAAAGGTAGTAGAAAATATTTAAGAAAAACAATGCATGAGGGGTTTTACTAAGAGTAATAAAAATTAAAACAATATTTTTAAAAATTGTTGTGTCTATCTTTATATTTGTTGCGGGATCACGCAAAATCTGTTGCCCAAGATTGAATTTTGTTTTCACATATGTATACTTAAAGGTCTATCTTAAAAAATAAAAAGTATTTTTTTTAACTTAATACGTCATCTAAAAGTGGTTATACACTTCCAAAATCCGCACGTACAAAGTTGTGGGCAAAAGTTTCTTATAAAATAAACAGAGGCAGATTTCAATATGTCAGTAACTTAGTGTAATTTGGCAGATGATGTGGTGCAGCGTTGAGCACATTGTTTTGCATAATGAGGAGATGATTAACCCAAAAGGGTTCGATTCTGGGTCGTGTCAATTTATTGGGTATTCTATATGTTTGTTGTCTTGTTTCTCCTTACATATAGGGTATCCTAATTTGATGACCAGGCTAATGATATGACTTATTAGTCATATAGTTTGACTAGTGACTGACTTCGTATAAATGTCTTTACAAGTATTTCTCTCATTTTTAATTATATATTAAAACGCAGTTGAGTATGGATGTTGTCTTTAAAAGGAAGATATAACTATCTATTTCTTATTTTTATATCATTACGACGATTGGCAGATGGATTATATACTATTTTATTTTGTTTTATCCAACTCTTGCACTCGAATATTGTGTTAAATTTATTGTTAGTTCTTACATCTTGAACATATGCATCTAGTATCCAAGATCTGCGCTGTTCACTCGAAAATTTTAACGCCTGTCTTACATTATGACATCCTATTTGAACCTAACGTTTAACGACACTAAGGGCTGCGATCGTGTGCCCTCCCCTCTCTTATGGTCTTTCTTGATCTTGAAGATGAAAAGGAACGGTATTATTTTGTATACTCTATCGCCACACGGAATTTAATTCGGAAGCCTTAAATTATAATAAAAGCTATTAGAATATAATTCGAAAACTAGATGTTTGTTTAATTTGTTTACTGTTTTGTGTTGCCAGACTCGACAAACAAGCAGCGGGGGCGAGCCAGGCCCCCCCGACGAGGCCTCCCGCCCTGAAAGCAGGGAGCCACCATCTTTGGCCATCAGCCCTTCAGAGAGGTGAGTTAATTGTGTAATATTCTTAAAAACTAAAACAGAAGAGGATAGACATAATCTTATTTTAATGTAGACCTTTTAAATTTAAAGCTATTTTTTTAGACTTGGAGGTTAAAAAGTCCACTTTACAATAATCATATTATATAAGATTTGTTTGAATAAAGTCGAGTGGGGGGAGAAGAGATTGTTAGTAGTCGGGGCTAGCCGCATTATTCCTAGCAATATAGCATCGACCTGACAGGGTCGACCTCTACGCGACCTTCTCTGGAAATTATCATGGTTAATTCTTTGAAGAATTCGTCATGATGGACCAACTAGCATGTTTTTTAATGGATGACAATGGAATGGTGATGGATGATAGGTGAGAATGAAAGGGCAGGTCTTTTTTTAATACGTTACGATGGAATGGTAACCTCGCCTGCGCTATAACTCGCTGTAACACTGGCGGGACACTTAGCACGGGCGGGGTTGCCATTTCAATATCATCCATTATAAAAAAATAGGTCTTACATCGGCGGGTAATTCAAGTATTACTATGATCCATGTAATGTGGGCTTTTAAAGTCTCTCTCCCTCTTCTTCGTGTCTAAAGGAGACCTTTATTACATTCTGAGTTGCATTGAAAAAAAACCTACGCTATAGTAAATGCTTGCACAATAAATTTATACTCAGTAGCTTATCGAATTTGACGTATGTTAATGTATGTATGAAAATGTATATTCTCACCAATTCGACTCGAACGAAAGATAAAATACATTCAATTAACTTGCCAAGTCATTGAAGTATGAAACTTCCTAAAAGACCCTTTAATATAATGTTATTGAATATTTCCGAACGATGAAACTGTGTAAATATTCAATAGCTATCGTCCAATTCGCCTTCGCCTTTGGCCTTTTCGCGCATTATGCATCATTGGGGAATAGGAATGATTGGTTTGCTCTTTTGTTCGCTATATTGTAGTCACAGAGTATCGTGGAAGTAATAGTTTCACTTGCGACGTATAATGTCTTACCCCTCCCCTTTCGGACGGTAGCGACTAACGTCCATCACACCACCCTTCCCCATTCTTATTTGAAAACCATCGAGATGTAATTTCTAGTGAATTAAAAAAAACCATGTCATGTGTAAATCGTAACACATACTCGAATACACAAACAAAAATCCGTTTTATACACGTGTCATGACGTTTTTTTTTTTGATAGGTGAAAATGGTATGGTAACCCCGCCTGCGCTAACGGGATACGCTGACGGAGCACCAGTGAAAGGTGATAGATGAGAATGAAAACAGGCCAGTTAGCCCATCAAATATGAATTCATCAGGAATTAACCATGATAGTTTCCAGGGAGAACCGAGAGGAGGTGACCTGGTTGGATATATTGCTAGCAATGGGATTCTCAGTCTCCATTACTAATAACTCCCTTTCCCCCCTGCCATGATGTTTATAAAGCCTTATAGATTATATTGTGAGGCCGGTGATATTCTTCGAGTCTCTAGTATTGTCTTTTTTGAAGGGTGGAAAATTATATCTCACCCCTCAAATCAAAACACGAGCATGCAAGTATAGGTGCTGGGCGGTAAAAACACAAGTGGGACACAATACCCATGTAGACAACTTTTGTACAAACCCCAAAATTTTAACCTAATTTAGGGAACGAAACAATATATCTTAGCAGCAAATTATTACCACATAATATTGAAAATAAAAACGTCAAATAATTCTAATTTTAGTTACAAAATTGTATTGAACCATAGAGAACTAACGATAAAGCTTTTGATTAATTGAAGTTGGAAAATCAGTCGTAACTGTAGTAACTCGTAACAGTTCAAATTAAATTTAGTTCTAATTAAAATTATACAACTAACAGTTGAGTTTTGGGTTAAATGTAGAAGGGTCAACTTTGTGTTGTAAACTATCAGAATTGGACTTATGTATATTATCTATTTATAAGATTATTTACAAATCAAATATTGTAAACTAGCTTATTGCCCGCTACATCGTCTTTTATACATCTAGATGATATATAAAGATAAAACATACATCAGTTTTTAAATTAGACCTTCATGACTATAACTGAAAAAAACCGCATCCAATTTGGTGCAATAGTTTGCAGGAAAATTACTACTCTCATTTTAAGGGGGGGGGGGGGGGAAGAGGTTGTTAGTAATGGAGTCTAATTTCCCCATAACTAGGAACCCTTGGCAGGTCGGTTGGCAACCATAGTTTAATTTTTAGCAATGTTTTAAGAGGGACATTGCTGTTCATCCCTCTACTATAAGCTCTCTTAGTCGCCTCTTACGACACCCATGGGAAAGGAAGGGATGGCCTGTTCTATGCCGGGATTTACACCTGCAATGCCGCTGGTGTTGTGGGTGATTATGGGCGGCGGTAGTCGCTTACCATCAGGTGAGCCGCATGCTCGTTTGCCCCCTGTGTTGTAAATAAAAACACTGTTAAAATCTGGTGTGTATGTTTTCATGAATTGTCGTCAAGAATGAAATAGTCTATTTCATCGAGTTTTTTATTTATGATATCCACACATACTAAGTAGCGGCCGATAAGATAGTAAACAATAAAATATTGTTAACACCTCACTTATTTCATTTGCATGCATTACATATTCGATTGATGGGAATTTTTTTGTTATTTTATATCTACTCGGATAGTTCAATAAAACTTATACTAAAGTAACAAATAGAAAAATAGATTTCATACTTATACCAACACGTATTTCATGTGTATATTATACGTATTATAATTGAACACACTTATGTGTACTACCTATACACATACATGAGTACTAGTATAGTAATATATTATCTGCGGTACTACATAAATGTTTTTTTATTTCTATTTCCGAATAAATAGGGTAAACGCCCTTATATTGATCACGTTAGAAGTTTCATATGGCATTCTGAGAATTCGGAGTATTTTATTACAACCCGGCGCTATCGATGGGTATCCACTATATGTCATTGTCTCGTTACGTTTGGACTTACTGTGTTATTCTGAAAAACTCGAATGGGATTCACAAATCACCGGAGACTTATTTAATATAATAAAATTGTAACTATACAATGCTTGTACTAAAGGTATTTGAAAGAAATTTATATGAGGGGTCCTGTTCAGAGCAATATATGTCAAAATTATAATTTTTAGAAATCTTGGCTGCCTGTCTGTCTCTCTGTGTGTTTGTGTCGGCATCATGTAAAAACTACTGCACCAAAAAGGATGATAGGTGAGGATGAAGCAGGTCAGTTGGCCCATCGTGATGATTTTAACAAGAATTGTTCATGATGGTTTTCCAGGGGGGAACCACGTGAAGGACGACCTAATAAGGCATATTGCTAGCAATGGGGCTGTCAAACTCCATTGCTAACAATCCCTTTCCCCCCAATTTGTATATATTTGAGTTGAGATCAAATTGAAATCAAACGTCAAAATAAGATACCATATACTATTGAGGGAATAACAATCTCTCCCCTGTGGGACTGTTTGACCTCTAATACGAACAAGTAATTGGGGTTTAACAGTCCCATTACTAGCGGTATACCTTACCCGGTCGATTTCCACGCGGTTATTCTTGGGAATCATCGTGTTTAATTCTTGTTGAATTCGTAATGGTGGATGAACTGACCTACTTTTATCCTCACCTATCACCCTTCACTGGTGTCCCTCCAGCGTATACCGATAGCATAAGCGGGGTTAATATTCGATTTAAATCAATTAAAAAAAAATCATATACTATTGGACATCTTTTCGATATCGTTTTAATTTAACCCCAATCCGATTGCTATCAATATTTCCTTGTTGTTGCTTACTAATTGATCAAGCGCAGAACCTCTTGCGCTGGTATACTATTCCTTAGTTATCCTGGTGACAAAAAAAAAAAGGCGAGTCGATATTTTACATTTTTACTCTTTAAATACAAAAAGACCAGACCTTTGTATTATTTTTATCCAATGCTCAAATATAAATGCAAATACCTACTTAAGTACTTTTGCTTTAAAAAGATTCTGCGTATTATAAAGTTTTAATCCGTCTAGCGGTCGAGATTTTCAACTGGAAGTCGGAGTGAATCTGCGCCTTAAAAACCGACTTTGTCAGAAATGAGTTCCATTAAATAATATTTAATACAGTATTCCTTTGATGCGATCCTGTGGTTTAATCAACAAAAATATATTTGTAGTCTAAATACATTTTGCTCTGCAAAATTCTAGTATATTTTTCTCCGCAAAATTTTCATTTCTCATAAAATAAATCGTAAAAGAATAAAATGTTTCGTAGCTAGACATTTGAATTTTCAACAAGCATTGGGGTTTTTCAATAAAGTGGTAAAGAGGTCTGAAGACACCTCAAAAGGTTGGCAATGCGCGCGTAATGCCCCTGGTATTGCAAGCGTTCATAGACTACAGTAATCGCTTACCATCAGGTAGGCCGTATGATTGTTCACCATTTCAGTGGTCTAAAAAAAGCTAGACATATTAGACAGAAAATATTTTAATTAAGAACACGTAATCAGGTGTTTATAAATAGTTTTCTCTCTATAAATAAAAAATACATTAAAATTGTGATTATATTTTTTTTGTATATTGGCAGCCTACTCTCAGATCGGTCGGCGACTTCGTCACGGCAACCACAGAGGCAGGTGACATTCTTGAAGCCGGCTGCTGACACGAATCTGGACAGGAAAGCATCTATCGTCGACGAAACTACTGGAATCACCAGGACCCAAATGAAAGGTACCTGTCTACAGAAACATAGATGATCTGCAAAGTATTTTCTTTTGTGCACGTATACATATGGTCACATAGTTCGAAGAACCGACAATTGATGGGGAAGACAGGTTCTTTAGTGACGACTCCGTACAGGCAAACGCAATGTAGGACGATTACCCACTAGCGACGACCACAAATGCGTTGTAGAAAGTTAGTGGATGGTGGCTCGGGACTGTTCCTTACGAAGGTTTTTTACATCTAAATTTTAATTCGATATTCTTAGCTATACTTACACAATATTATTGAATGTCGAAAAATAGTTTTGAAAATAAACAAGAACAGTATTATAAATTGCACTTTTAGAAGGGTTATTGAAAACGAGGGTGAGGTTTTGTGCCTATTTCAGTCTTGAATGAGTAACATGTGTTGCTATCTTAAAGCGATTCGACCAAAAATATAATTGTAAAGCATTTATACCAAGTTTTGAATAATGTAGTAATACATGTAGAATAAATATAATTTATTTTTTACTTATTTAGATGTCTCAATGACTATTTCCACCAAAATACTTATTATGTTTAATAAAATACATATGCAAATAAAATACAATACATACTTGACTACAAAATCGCAAACATAACTGCATGTTGCAAAAATAAAATATTTTTGTGATACGCAGTTGTGTTAGAAAAAGAGGTAATATTTTTAAATCATTAAGATGAAATAGTGGATCCGTCTATGCTAATGGTATATTATAATTATAAATTAGGAAAATAGAAGATAAATACGGTAGGTTGAAAAGAGATAAAAATAGCATAGTTTCAGAGATGTTATGGAATTAGCTCTCTGTCGAAGTTTTCCCAAAAGACTCCAGTATGAGGTTCTTCAAAAATAGGATAAAGAGGTTAATTCAGACAATGCACGTAATACCCCTGGTATTGAAGGCGTTCATAGGATATGATACACCTGATGATAACTATTTATAATCAGATGGGCTATATGCCTGATTGCCATCTTAGTGGTATACAAAATTGGTCAAATATGAGTTATAAGTTATGAGATAAGTATGATTAAAGTGAAGGGTACATATATCATTGATTCATTTTGTAAACTAAAGCTTATTGTACTATTATACAGAGTTCCGTGAAGCGTTCCGCTTGTTCGACAAGGACGGTGATGGCACCATCACTAAAGAGGAACTGGGACGGGTGATGCGCAGTCTTGGACAGTTCGCGAGAGTTGAAGAGCTCCAAGATATGCTGCAGGAGGTAGATAGGGATGGTATGTAGTTGAAATTAATTCTAAATGTGAATTTGGACTCCTTCTTCTGCACTTTATCATCAGCCAGGCTGTGTGCTTGTTTGTAATATAAAAAAGAATCTGCATTTATGTCTATTATTTGGGCCGATGTATGTGTGAACCATGGCTAATGTAGTCAGCCAAGTCCGGCCCAAATTAATTGAAATAAACATAGGAAAATACTTCATGGAGATGCTTGTTCCGTGGATACGAGTGGATACACACGGTTGTTGTGAAGCCAGGATCACTTATATTCTGCTGCAATATCATCAACTTCATTTTTGTTGTGTGTAATTTGTTGGAAACACTAAATTTAATATTATACTATAGCAACCCTAAAATTGTCTTCGCTCTTTTCCGTTACAACAATCGTCCAATGTGCAAGTCTTTGTGTAAAATATGATTAACATAAATATATTGTGAAATTAAAAGGTGGTTTTGCAATATAAAGTACATTTTCCAACATAATTAAATAACCGAAAAGAGATACCTATAGCAACCTGTAGTTAAGAATAAACAGCACAAGTCAGCTTTCTTCATCATTTATTTTCTTCCTTCATTTATTCAATAATGGTATTTCTCTGTTAAAATTTGGTAACATTCATTCACTTCCTTACTTGAGATTTCATATTATTAAATTTAATTTACAACGTTGGTGTACCAAAAGAATAGAAAGCTGAAGTAAGGCTAATCTAATATAATATGATACTTTGGTTTAGCACAATTTCACTAAAAATTATTTATTATGATTAATTTAAATTTTACTAAACTATTTTTTTAATCAGTTAGATCGGGCTCCATATGGTTTCCAACCAACTGGAAACAATTGTGGTTAATTCCTGGTGTATTTGTCATGATAGACTAAGTGACCTGACTTCATCCTCACCTATTGTCAATAATTGGTACCCCGCTAGCGTATACCGATAGAGAAGGTGGAGTTACCGTTTAATTTTCACTCCATACAAAAATCCTACTTCTCATATTGAGCTCGCTTAACTAACATACAGGAAAATGTAGATTATAGCTATATAATGCTTTCACTCAACCTCTCCTTTATTATGTACTTTAGGGGACGGGAACGTAAGTTTCGAAGAATTCGTAAGCATCCTCTCCAAGTCTATGTCTGGCACTGGTAGCGGTCCTAGCTCGGCTGAGCAGGAGGAGCGCGAACTGAGAGACGCCTTCCGTGTGTTTGACAAACACAACAGAGGTTACATATGCGCATCGGATTTGAGGGCTGTACTGCAGTGTTTGGGAGAGGATCTCTCGGAAGAAGAGAGTGAGTATACAGCTGTTGTAATTGTTAATTTTGAACTTTTACCTTATTTACACATATTTTAAATTCACTATCTGTACTAATGCAACGCATGGTTGCAAAAAGACGTTGTTCACGAGGATTTAGTCACGACAAGACTTCAATCCTGTCGTGACTAAATTTAAAGTATAGTTGTTGTAATGTTTTAAAGGCTAGTAGTAGTAGACGCTAAATATAAGCTTCAGCAGTTATTCTATGAATATAATAAAAATAAAATTCTCACTTAATACTACCTTAATGGCTCAAACGGTCCAATCTCTTCGGTTGCTATGCATGTAGGTAGGAATGTAGAAGGGCATAAACTGCCTGGGGTCAATAGTGTTTTTTTTTATACAACTTAGAATGGCAAACAAGCTGACAGTCCACCTGATGGAATGTGGTAACCGTCGCCTACAGACATGAGCAGTACCATGGATATAACAGAGTATACTGTTTCGCCCATGATACCCCCCCTGCGTTGCCATTTCTGAGGACTCAGGTGTTATTCCTCTGTACCCAGTAAATTCTACCTATATACCTCGGTCGCGCGGACGAAGACGAGGGTAACGATTAGTATAACATCTTTAATTGTAATCGCTTGTAGTGTGTAAGAGTGAATTAGAAGAATATTTGATATCCAAATATCATCTTTTGTTTGATTTTAAGGATTCTCTTTAAAATTAGTGGGGTTTATTTTCGCCTTGGTTCTATATTAGTTTCTTAACGATTGACGTAGCTGTTAGTTTTTTTTTTTTTTTGTGAAATAAAATAATCATTACCTTATCTTATTATAATTGATTTTTATTTTCAGTTGAAGATATGATAAAAGAAGTGGATTCAGACGGTGATGGCCGTATAGACTTTTTGGGTGAGTACCAAAAAAATTGAAATTGTTTGTTCACGTAAATTTTAAATATTTTTAATCTTTTTCTAAAAGTTTTATTTGGACTGCTAGCAGCATTTAAAAAAATGATAAATTGATCCAATTGTTTTCAAGTGATGCATTTTTTTTGATGGGTGAAAATGGTATGGCAACCCCGCCTGCGCTAACGGGATACGTTGGCGGAGCACCAGTAAAGGGTGATAAATGAGAATGAAAACAGGCCAGTTAGCCCATCATGATGAATTCATCAGGAATTAACCATGATAGTTTCCAGGGGGAACCACGTATAGATCGACCTGGTTGGGTATATTGCTAGCAATGGGATTCTCAGTCTCCATTACTAACAATCCCTTTCCCCCCAATCAAGTGATGCATTTACTGATGAATATCACAATAACGCCCACCCATGTACTTATTATACATATATATATATATCTTGTCCTTATCCCAGTTATTTAGGGTCAACGTAATATATATATTTTGGGATAAAGGGAACTGTTATTAACGAGGTTCAACAGCCCCATTGCCAACAATATAGGGTATATTGCTGACAATGGGGCTGTTGGGGGGAAGGGATTGTTAGTAATATTATTATTATTTATATTTATTAGTATTAGATAAGAGACTAACGGCCCCATTGCTAGTAATATACCTAACCAGGTCGACCTCCACGTGGTCCCCCTTGGAAATCATCGTGCTGAATTCCAAGTGGTATTCATCACGATGGGCTAACTGGCATTTTTATTCTCACCATTATCCCTCACTGGTGCCCCGCCAATGTATACCGTTAGCGCAAGCGGGGTTACCATTCCATTATCATTAAAAAAAAAAGCAAAATACCCTATCAAATCGACCTCTACGCGGTACACGTTGGACGAGACAAATTCAACAATAATAAACAACGGTAGTTCGCCGTGAAAACCATCGTTGTTAATTATTGTTTTTTTTTTTTTATTTTTTTTATACGACTTATGATGGAAAGTGGTAACCGTCGCCTATAGACATGAGCAGTTACCATAGACATAACAGTACACACACATACTGTTTCGCCCATGATACCCCCCATGCGTTGCCATTCCTGAGGACTCAGGTGTTATTCCTCTGTACCCAGTAAATTCAAGCCATATCTTACCCTTCAAACCAAAACACAGTCATGCAAACACAACTACTTCACGGTAGAAACGATATTTTATTTATTTATATATTTTATTTATTTATTTTTAACTATAACATTTAAGTCGATTGGTACACATGTATGACTGTAACTACTAATGAACTGTCACTTTTCTCATAAGGGTAATTCTTATTGGGTTTGCTGGAAGAAATCTCTATTGGAGATAAGCTCGCCCTTGTGCACTATTATGTTTGTTTTTACATTTCAATAACCTTTTGTGTACAATAAAGAAGAAAGAATAGAAACATGAATGGGACAGAGGTACCCAAGCAATCGACTTTTGTACAAAGTCTCCCTTTGGTTGAATTCGTCACGATGGGTCAACTGACCTGCTTCACCCTCATCTATTATCCTGCGGCATCACTATTTCATTTTATCCATTAGAAAAAAAATATATATATATATCTGCAGTATATGTACTACCTACTATTCAGTGTTCGTAGCAACACATACTATTTTTAGCTTCCTTTCTTTTTTTTCCAGTTTCTCTCATTTGATAATAATATATTTACAGAATTCGTAAGGGCGCTGGGCGAGCCTGAAGACGCTTGCGACGACGAAGACGACGAGGAGCAAACCGACGGCGCGGAGGTCCCGCTGCAGAGACCTATCACCGCTAATTAACTGATGTTCACGATTGCTTGACGAGAAAAATACGCAATGAACACGTAATAAACGCACACTTAACTGACGAGTTCGTATCACGATTATTTATTTACGCGTAAAGAACGATAATATGCATACTTAGCTGACAAGTTTGTACCATGTTTATTTTTTACCACGTAACGAACGGTAATATGCAAAATTAATTGACGGGTTGTACTACGATTTTTTACGCATAATGGACGGTAATATGCATACGTAATCGACAGGTTCGTAGCTATTAATTATTTTTTACGCGTAATAACGGTAATATGCATACTTAATTGATGGGTTATTACCACATTTATGCATAATGTAAGGTATTAATGCATGTTTAACAGACAGTTTCCTACCACGATTGAAGAAAAAAATATCAATGCGAGTGTATTAGTCACATATTTGATCAATTTAGATTTTAATTCGAACGACTGGTAAATTACACCAAATTGTTGGATTTTTCAGTAAATCCACAGAAGTAGATAATTATTATATAGGAAAAATACATTGCATTTGATAGGTTCAGTCTAAGAAATAAAGTTATTAATGCCATATCATCATCATCTTCATCACACTCATTATCTAAACCATTTAAAATATTATTATAATAAGAAAAAAATAATATAACAATAAAAATAATCATTGATACGTCAATTATTTATTTGTATTGAGCTTGAAAATTAAAAAGGAAGCAATTTGAATGATTAAAAAGCATCTTACAATTTGTTGTGATTTAAAATTAGAAATCTTACACAGTAATTAATTTAATTAATTGAAATATTTTTTACACCCATATTATAATTGCCCATATATAATTTAAATTATATTCGTATTTTTCTCGTCAATTATAAATTGTACTTATTAAAATTAACTTGCAAACTATAATATAAGTACGTACTTTTCCTAACAAACTATAAGGGTACGTATAAACGCTTACTATCGCTTACGTAACACCACGACATAAACGAATGGTAAATAAGGTCCGCACAAATGAGGGGATAATAAGAGTCCTTACTTACGAGAATTACCCCAAATGTAGTCCGGGGTACTTTTTGTCTGACAAAGAATTGAAAATATTTTCGTGAAATCTATAATATAGGTTCCTAGAATATTTGTAAATGTTCTAGGAACCTATATTATAGATATACTCTATAGTCATTAGCGTATTTAAGATTATTTTTCAAGGGAGGCCTGGCCTTTTTTTTAAGGGGTACAGCCGCACACTTATTACACATGTCCTTGCCCACAGCTGAAAGTTCTCTTCATTCTGAGATGGGTTCCACAAAACTCTGGGGTAGGCATGGTCCACACCCCTATGCCCCTTAAATACGCCTATTTCTATAGCTGAGAGTTAATATAGATTGAAGTTACTTATACTCTACCAATTAGAAGAAAATTAGGAATGAATTGATTTTTAATATACCTACAGCTAATCCTATGTCGGGAGACAGGACGAAAGTTTATATGAGTCTATAGATAAAATTATTGTCATGAGACTTGTTTCAAGCCATTAGTTTCAAAATGTAAATTAGGTTTAAGAATTTGCTTTGTAATGCATGACATAACACATACGAGTATGACGGACTTATATAAACCAGGTTATTGCGTACTCTCTTTATTACAATGTCGACATAAAAAAGGTGGGTAAAAAGCATACAATTCGTCTGATTATAAATGGTCACACGCCTGCAACATATATAAGGTTATAGGTATTTAAGAGAGTTCCTTGTGTGCGCGGGCCCTAATTTTGTGCCATTGCTTATATCTCATAACAATGCTAGTATATTTATATATTTATAAGAACTAAATTAAAATAAATACTTATTAATAGTAGGTAGATACTTTCAACCTACACTTCAAAATAACATCATAATGAAAATTTATTGTATTAATTTAAATTTCATAAAGTATTTATCTACATTAATAAATAAAATATAACGTGATTATATAGATGTGACGTTGTATTTTTTTAAATATAGGCGCCAAACCTTTTCGTGTAGGCAGTTCTATATTTTATTTCAAAATGTAGGTATATAGTATTAAGCTTCGAATGGGACATGTGCATTGTATATTTACCATGCTTGAAATCCTGTCACTATTATAGTAAATATCATTCTAGGAAAACACTAATATTGAAAGTTACAGAAATATTATACATAAATCCAGTGTAAAAATATTTTTTTCTCTTGTTTGAATTTAGGGCTTGAATTTAGTACAACGAAGGCCACGAGGGGTAATTCTCGGGGCACTTTTAACGCAGGTTCCTTTTTGCTATCGAAAATAAGATGTGTAGGAATTTACCCTCTGCATTGGTACAAATCTCTATAAATGAAGTTAGAAATACAAAAATAGAGGATATTTGTATTTCTGTATAACAAGCTTCAAATAATAATAAGAGGCAAAGTGTGTAAGTTAATGGACTAACAATATTTTGGTCGTCTATTTTAATTACTATCTCCGACACTGTTTCTTCTGCATATCAATGATATGTTACAGATCAGTGATATTCATTGTTATGCAGACGACAGTACAGGAGATGCATTATACACCGGTCATGCAAAGATCTCGCGGGCACATACCGATGAGCTCCGGAACAGACTTGTGTCTGAAATCGAAACTTCGCTCGACAAAGTTTCGATCTGGGGTGAACGCAATCTTGTTCACTTTAACCCTAAGAAGACACAAGTCTGCGCGTTCACCGCAAAAAAGACACCGTTTGTCGTATCTCCTTACTTTCGGGGCACTTCCCTCGATAATAAGTCGAGTCTGGGGATTCTTGGCGTCGATATATCTAGCGACGTCCAGTTTTGCGGTCATCTGGAGGAAAAAGCTAAGATAGCTTCCAAAAAGTTGGGGGTGCTCAATAGGGTGAGACGGTATTTCACGCCAGAAAACCGCCTGAAACTATATAAAGCTCAAGTGAGGCCACACATGGAATACTGTTCTCACCTGTGGGCAGGAGCGCCACAGTACCAACTCCTTCCGTTAGACCGCATTCAAAGTCGGGCAGCTCGAATTGTTGACGATCGGCGTCTTACTGTCCGGCTCGACCCACTGGAACTGCGTAGAGATGTTGCATCTCTGTGCATTTTCTACCGAATTTATCATGGGGAGTGCTCTGAAGAATTGTTCGGATTGATACCTGCTGCAGATTTTCACCATCGTACAACCCGCCATAAACTAAAATTTCATCCCAACCATCTGGACAAGTGGCGGTCCTCCACCGTGCGTTTTTCAAGGCACTTTCTCCCACGCACAACCACTCTTTGGAATCAACTTCCAGCAGCAGTATTTCCGAACCGATACGACAACATAACCTTCAAGAAAAGAGCATATTCCTTTTTAAAAGGCCGGCAGCACACCTGCAATGCCGTAGGTGTTGTGGGTGATCATGGGCGGCGGTAGTCACTTACCATCAGGTGAGCCGCATGCTCGTTTGCCCCCTGTGTTGTAAAAAAAAAAAAAAAAAAAATTGATAAAAAGTACCCCCGAGGATGAGTATACCCTCGTTTGTGTCGGCCCTTATTTTTATTACAACATAAGAATTAAAACTTTATTGAAAAAGAAGGAAATAAGTAAATTGTTAAACTTAAGACCCAACGGTGCATAACTGCATATTGAAAATTACTATTACATCCCTGTCATTTCTTCTTCAACAATTGTACCTCGCCTTTTCATAACCTACACATATCTTATAGAGAATTTAAAATAATATAATAAATTTACCTTTGACAATCTTAATTAATTGCATGAATGAATATATTTCCTTATCGATTTAATCCTAGATGTTGTAAAATAAACAAGTACAGACCAATATACAATTAAATATATTCAGAACTGTAAAAATCTTTTATTTTTAACCCTTAAAAATATGTTAGATTTCGTTCCTAAGTAAAAAACTGGCTTTTTGGAAGCGATTTTGATAAAATGTAGAATTAAAAACTTGTAAATAGGGTGAGTAAAAAACAAAAATTATCTGTAGGCATTTTTTATTAACATATCAAAATATATACTTACAGATTATTTTATATACATGATGAGGATTTATAATAACACTTTTCGAGAGGTAAAGCGGTAATAAATGATAATATTTTAAGTACATAATAAAAAGATTACAAGTTCCTATATAGGTATTGTGTAATATTTATTATTGGACTGATACATACAGTGAAAAAAATTTACATTAGACTTTCGAGTATATTATAATCATTTTAGCATGCAATAAAAAATACAAACAGTTAAAAATCAATGTCATTAACATATTGTTTTTAATAATATTTTAAATATTTTTCTTTTCAAGAAACCTATTTTTGCCAAAAAAAAAAATTGGAATTATGTAATATTATTTATTTATTTTACACTATTTATAAAAACAATCAATATACAATCAACAAATTAAACAATCAGACAATCAGTGTGAATATTCGAGAAATATTTTACATATTATGAAAAAAGTAATAATGATTCAATATTAAAATAAATAAAATTATTTTATCACTTATCAAATCTTTAATTAAAAAAGAATTGGCACGTAGATTAAGTAAATATCATTAATACTACAAAATAAATATACATAAAAAAAAAAAAAATGCAAAAAGACACACTCTATTCCAAAATCAAACATTTGTTCATGTTTAAAATTTAACCCTTATTACAACGGCATTAAGCTGAGTTTCAATTTATTTGTATCTATATTATCTATCAAAAGGAATTTCATATTTAGAAAAGGATACTATAATTTTTTTGTAACGCGCTACAGAATGGCACTATTGTGTTCGTCACAATACAATAGGTTAAGCAATATATTTGACAATAAAAGATCCAATATGGTATGTTATATAGGTCACACCTGAACAATTTTTTCGGCAAGGAAATTCAACGATTGGTTCTTTTATGTATATTATTATACAGGATAATATCGAAATTGTTAGCATCCTTTTAAAATAATGTTATTTTAATGAATCTAAATAATTCTCACATAGTAACATATGTTGATAAGATTTTGAGCCTCCCATACTAACACTTAGTATGGGGATAAAAACTTATTCGACGTTTTTGAATTTTTGAGTTTTTGTCCTAATAATGTTCCACATTTTAATGTAATAACTACTTGTTCAACGTACATGTAATTTGGTCGTAAAAGCTCGAATAGTTTGGAGATTTTTAGTCCTGAGCGACTGTAACGCGAGCGCAAGCCTCATTGCGCGCCATGACTAAACTAGTCGAGATTTCTCGACTAAATTACACGTAAGTGAAAGCGGTATTTATTACATCCAAATGTAATGTGTTTTCAAGAATCTTTTAATAATAAAATGTTCTACATGTGTACATTATCAGTTTTACATACGGCGTGCAGCTAACAACTGGGATTTCACCCTGTATAACTTTGTAAAGGCAGACAAATGCGTTTCAACTTCCCATAACTCAATATAACAACCCATACGTCCACTGCTGGGACAGATTACCCCATAAGAGGGTAATAACTTATAGCTGGACAGGCGCATACGCAACCATACAAAAAGCGAATCCTGTATTTTCCATCACAGCCACAAGAGCTCCAATTCTTCATACTTTCAGCAGATTTCTTTTACATTCAAGTCACTGTGTGGTTCATAATTCCTGCCGACATGTTACTGCAGTTGTAATTGTTTAATTATTAGGGACGAGTAATATCGGTACCGATTTGATATCTATATATTGGATTTCTCTGATGGCGAAAAAAAGGTCATCACCTAATGCCAGCACTAGTTGGATACTATATACATTTTGATCAGGTTCTTTTTTTTTATACAACTTAGAATGGCAAACAAGCTGACGGCCCACCTGATGGAAAGTGGTAACCGTCGCCTATAGACATGAGCAGTACCATGGACATAACAGAGTATACTGTTTCGCCCATGATACCCCCCATGCGTTGCCATTCCTGAGGACTCAGATGTTATTCCTCTATACCCAGTAAATTCTCGCCATATCCTATCCTTCAAACTGAAACACAGCCATGCAAACACAACTGCTTCACGATAGAAACAAGAATGGGACAGAGGTACCCAAGCAATCGGCTTTTGTACAAAGTCTCAAATGATATTATGTATTGGACATCCGAAATTTAATATATCCATCATTGGTCAATATACAGATATATAGATAACTATAATACGAGTATATAGATACTGCTATATATTATTCACCCCTAAAGCAATTTTGCATTTACCTATTGATATTAAATATTTTATATTGATATTGTAACTACTTCGTTGAGATGACATACTTAAAAGGACAAGGAAATATCCGTGCTAACGAACGTTTTTTTTTTTTTTTTTTTTTTTTTTTTTTTTTTTTTTTTTTTTTTTTTTATAGAACTTAGAATGGCAAACAAGCTGACGGCCCACCTGATGGAAAGTGGTAACCGTCGCCTATACACATGAGCAGTACCGTGGACATAACAGAGTATACTGTTTCGCCCATGATACCCCCCATGCGTTGCCATTCCTGAGGACTTAGGTGTTATTCCTCTGTACCCAGTAAATTCACGCCATATCCCACCCTTCAAACCGAAACACAGCCATGCAAACACAACTGCTTCACGGTTGAAACACGAATGGGACAGAGGTACCCAAGCAATCGACTTTTGTACAAAGTCTCCCTCTGGTAAACGTCATAGGTCAGTTCAGTGACGTCACATCCAATTCGGTCATACTTTTCAATCGTCTCAAAATAAATTCTTAACTCAACCGATTACATTATTTTTATATATTTATCACAACCGTCATGACCCTTAGTCGTCCTAAAGCAACATTTTTTATAACACTTACAAAAAAAAATATTACAAATGATAAGCGGGCGAATAATAAAGATCAAATCATTATTGTCGGACGAGTAAGGAATAAGAATGGGTCAAGTTAGGAAAAATATTTGTCGTATCACAACATAATCGGAGCACAATTCAAGTATTTCTCTTTATGTTAAATTTATACATAGCATATGAAGTTAATCTTGACAAGTTTCATTATCGAAATAAATTTAGGTACATACTTAAATAAAAAACATGAATATTTAATACTTTTTTTTTGCATTCCATAAAGTTCTCAAAACCATTGATCATATTTTTGATCACTTAGACGTTCTCTCTGACCTGGTGGCACTATCTAAAGCACCCAGTCAATTCAGAAAAGATAATTTCCGGGAATCGAACCCGTGACCTCATCTTACATGTTAATTGACACTTTTGTAATAATTACCATTATGGAGTCTATTGGGAGCTGCAGATATTCATTTACTAAAATTCCGAAATAAAGACTTATTATGATTGTTCACCAAATATGCCATGTATAAAGATATACAATGCTAACCATGGCATCTAACACCGGGAGTGTCACTTAAAATCAGAGAAATAAGGATGTGAGGAGATATATTTAAAGTTACATTTTTACATAATTATAATACACTCCGTTTAGCTTATAATACGCATTATTATCAAATTATATTTGATTAATTTGGCCTTTAGGACTACTCTACAACGACCAGAGCCTATAATTATATTTCAACAAAGACTGAGAATTTTCTATTCGTCCAATTTCAATGAAACATACTTGAATTTTTAGTCGAAAGACTAAAGTTTAGTAAAGACTTTGTTTATAAGAACTATACTTCCTTCAAATCTATTTTAAGTAATGCAATGTTTTGTTACTTTCTCTCAAATTGAAAATTTAGCTGCAATAATGAAAAAGACAAAACACTTCAATTACTAAAAATTGGTTTTTGAAACGTTTTTATGAATAAAAGGGGGAAAAAATTATAAACTATTTTTAAGCACAACAAACGTCCACAAAGAAATGTTTAGAATCTATTACCAGTTTACTAGATACCCATTCTGATCTTATAGATAAATGAAATTAGCGTTAGATACGATTTCGTTAATGCACACACATGAGAAAAAGCCAGATAATGAATTACGGTATCGTTCTCTCATGCACGCGGTAGCGAGTACTGGCTGATTTACGAAATTAGGAATTATTTTGGGAAAGTTAATCTACACTATACTAATTGCCTATTGTTTCATATTATTTCGTTTAATTCTCCTATAATGAATTCCATTCAGGGTCGGATTAACCACGTTGGCGCCCTTAGGCTATTGGCAACACTGCCTAATGGATAATCCAGTCATAATTCTATTGGTACTGAAGGTTGATCACCAGTAACAATGGTTTTAAAATTGATAAATTTTATTCTTACTAGTAATGCTGTTCTCATAATGTTGAAATATAATTATGCTATGGCCATTTCAGTGACAACAATGAAACAGGTTGGAACGGCTATTTTGCAGACTTCATAAAATTGTTCATTTCATATAACCCGAAACGAGAATTAGTGCCACACCAATTTTCTAATCCTCAAGCTAAGACACTCTGAGGAACTAGTCAACTAATATCTAGAGGCATAACCTAGTTCACCCAGACACGAGGCAATTGCCTCTGCCGAGAATTAAACCAGGGACCTCATTGATGCAAAGTAACATGTCTCTGAGCTGCAGAGGTCGTCGATGAGACTGCAATGGTGCGTTCATATTCGTTTTCTCGTATTAAGCATGAGATGCAATCGTTAAATTTTATATATGGTTATACGAAATGAACCATAATATGTTACGCATATAGTCGCTATTACAACGCCCGTTCTACATTAGCATGCTAACCGCTTTACCGGCTGGTGATATACTTGGGCTCCATGTGGCCGGTGTCGCCGAGGACTCGGAGGACCACGTTCCCGTTGGGTAGAATCGACACCCACGTTATTGAACCGTGGTTCAGTGATATCCGGAGCCAGCCCTCGGGAGGGAACTGAAGGGCTCTGGAACGAAATTTAGTAAATTGTGATGTAAATTTAACTACTAATAATATAAATGTTGAAGTTTCTAAATATGTTTGTATGTTTTTTTCTCAATTAATGTTTGAATGGATTGGATATAAATTTGATACATGAGTAGACTTTATATCCTAACTTATAATATATATGATGCTTTATATATTGTTGTATGTGGGTAAAGCCGCGGGAATTAGCTAAGTATATAGATAGATAGGTACTCTTTACTGTTTCCTCCAAAAGATTACAATAGTAAACTTATTGCATATACAAACAATTACAAGAAACTATGACCGTAAGAAAACAATGGGCGGCCTTATCGCTAAGAGCGATGTCTTCTAAGCAACCTTTGGATGGAGAAGAGTAATTATAAACAGTTTGACCGGAGACACGAAAATGATATTTTTTTTAAATACTACTAAAGATATCTCCTACAATAATGTGAATATATAAATGTACATTTTAACTTAATAATAAATACGTAAATAAATACATATACACACATGTTTGTAATAGGTGTTACTGGTTTGTCTCGTTACATACGTGTAAATGTACGATTCAGCTAATAGTTCTCGTCATAAAGGCTAGCGCCACTTGGCTAATATAATAGTAAATATTATCATTATCATTTCAGCCTTTAACTGTCCACTGCTGAACAGAAGCCTCCTTCTTGGAAGTTTTGCCAGTAGTTGCCACGTTTATCAGGTCGATTGGCAACCGCTATTAGGCTTTGGAGATGTTTTAAGAGGGATGCTGCTGCTCATCCCTCGCCTTCTTTCAGTCGCTTCTTACGATACCCACGGGAAAGGAAGGGGTGACCTATTCTATGCCGGGACCACATGGTGATAAATGTTATACTCACTTGCAAACAAAATATCTGATGACATTCGCGTGGCAGACCAGTATCGTGTAGGTGTCGTTGGTCTGCTCAGGTGGCGCCCTGTAGAAATATCTCCGGAACGCGGCCTCTATCCGAGCACTGTCCTGGAAAAACTGCTAAGGATGCCAAACCATACTGCATTACTATACTGGCCAGTATTGCAATAACAAGATATGGAACTACTACAAAAAACTATTATTGCTTTAAATTGAAAATTAAATATACAAAGCAAAAAATATAAATTAATTAGAATGAGCTCTAGATAGTTCCATATTTAAATAAAAAAAAAAGGAAATAAGTACTATAATAACAAATTAGAAATGTAGCTTATTTCTAATCTTAATATGTGAGAATTTAATTGAGTATTATATTAGTTTGTCACTGTATTGTCAGAGAGCAAGTATAGTATATGGAACTTATATAAAGTCTTTTAAAACAAGTTTGGGATACCTGTATGTTAGATCTATATTTAGTAGTAGACAATGAATAACTGAAATTATAAAGTTTAAAATGGTTACGTCAACTGATGATGATGATGATATGTTTATAACACTATGTGTATTTATTTAAATGTACTATGTCAAAAAATGTACATATGTACACAGTTGTTAAAAGTCATGATCAGCTAACACCATGCACATTTGATATTCAAGTAATTGTTTAGTGTAATTAATTTTGTTAGATTTTTTTTAACATTTTACTTTTTAATTTGTCCTCAAGAATCCCAATGCATTACAATAGGCATCATGATATATTTAGTGATATCCTTAGTAATGTTAAGACAATGATTAGGCAATGATCTATAATAGTGTCACCATCAGTACACCATTCTCAGTGTAATTTATTTTTATAAAATATTCTAATAAATGTATTTATGACAAATTAGTTTGACAAAGCTTGTATGGAGACATTCCCTATAAGGCTGGTATAGTCACTCAGGTGTACTGATGCCCCAACAAAAATTAAAACAAAAAATTATGCTTAATTATATTATAAGAATTCTACTGTTATATAATACACAATATTTTCCAGAATGTATAAAATTTTTTAACATGCCTTAATAACTTACTTTTGCTTCTGGTCTCCAATGCCCTACTGGTGGTTCAGGGGGTATTGGAGCACCCTCTTCAATTAATTGACAGTCTTTAATCTCTAAATTTTTGTCTAAATGCTTGGCAATAATGGCCGCCGTCTCCTGCGCCCGAGTCATTGTGGATTGGACCAATAAATCCCATTTGATGTCGAGACAGGCAAGCCTTTGTCCTGTCAGGTCGGCTTGTGTTCTACCTGAAATTATTTAAATTTGAAGCAAGGAATGTGGATAACAATAAGCAACAGATCATTTATGTAATTGAGAATGAAATATGGTAAATATTTTTATTTGCTTTTATGCAAAAGTACATAATAGTAGGCTATTTATTAAAGGTAATTCTTTATTGTACACAAAATATAATGTTAACCACAAATAATTTGAAACATAGTGTACAAAGTGGAGCTTATCTCTAATAAAAGATTTCTTCCAGCAAACCATTTCTATATAGGTAGATCTTTTTTTTATACCATGAAGGTAGCAAATAAGTATACAGCCCATTTGATGGTGAACAGTCACTGTAGCCTATGGAAGCCTGCACTACTAGTCACATGCATATCGTTGACCTTGTAGAAACCTTAATATACCCTTTTTGAAGAATATCTATGGGCAAGGCAATAATTTGTTTTCAATTACTTTTATAGAGAAAACATAGACAATTGTTTTCTTAATTACTATAGAAAAATATTTTCCACTATCTTAAAAATACATATAAAATCATAAATGGAAATGGTTTTAGGCAGTTCAAACCATGGAAAACAAATCTAGCAAACAGTATAAGCAGATAAAGTAATTTTGTTTAAAACCTTTGCTGATATTTAAATCTATATATAGTTACAAATATTGTAACATTTAATTACTTAAATTGTGGGAACATTAAATAATTCGTGTACAAATCCTTACCCAAGTCAGTAAGTGTTCTTTCTTTATCTGTGACCCCTTCTATATTGTATTGTCCATGTCTGATAAGAAACAAATGACGAACAGCTTTGCTCTTTTTCGCCTTTTCAATTTGTTCATTGTATCTATTCTCCTCTTCTGGCTTGTCATTTTTTTTGGGCTTTACTATTGATTCTGGTTCCCGGCTGTGGCAAACAAATTAGTTAATTTAATATATTCTAATTAGATACTTAAAATATTATTATAAGATATAATTAGATAATTATAAATAATAAATATATAGCATCTAATGTTTTACCCAGCTAGGTATTATTTTAAGGAAGCCCATATCACTGGTTAGTTCACTAATTTTGTTTAATTCTGCTACCATTAGTTTAGTGTCAAATGGCTATCACTAGGCTCTGGGCAGTGACCTCTTAATTTGCCTAAAAGTGCCTCATGTAGAATTAAAATATGTGTTGTAAAATGTGTGTTAACGGAATGCCAGTCAGATTGTAGAACCTCTGGTCATAACAATAGTAGTTAGTTATTGAGTGTTGGCATTCACACACATACTAATGGAAGTGGAATTAAATAAAAAAATTATAATCAACTAACCAGTATATAATTATATATTAAGAAGGTACCAGTATATATTAAAAGGAATTAATAATAAAAAAAAGGTAGTGGGTAAGAAACTTAAAAAAAGAAATTGTAAAAATTTTACTTCAAATGACAATAATGCCATCAAAACAACAAAACACATCACTTATACAGAACATAGGGTCCTTGGCTAACATTAAAGGCAGTTATAGTTTTGAATTTTTAGTTGAGTTTGGTGTTTATGACTTCAGAGTTTTTTTTTCATTGTTGTTTTTATATGTTAGGCAGTAAATCAATAAAAATGACCCACTTCTTAATTATATACATAAAAAGGGGTAAATAAATTACTGTATAGAACATTTTTTTTAATATATTGAATTATAACCTAATAACCTAATTAAACATATGGATGGCCTCCTTTTATATTTAAATGTTGCGTACTACTTACTGGTCCCAATTCTTCTCCCATTTAACACTTGGTGTAAAATTAGTAGTCCACGAATTGTGCACGTCGAATTTTCTCTCATTTCTTCCGCTATTTACATGATAATATGCTAAACCGCCACCAACAGCACCTAAACTCAATAAAGCAATTTTGTTGAAACGGGAAAACGACGCCATTATTTAACAAATGAAAATAGTCCAGTCGGAAAATGAATACATTTACATACAAAGGGTTCTTTATAAATCGAAAATATGAAAGAAAATCTATTATTAAAAAGAATAAAACATAACCTCTCAATAAGTAAGGTACAATAAGATTTGACAGTTAATTCTATGATACTGACAGTAGTTACAGGTGACAGTGACAGCTAGTTTAAAAAAGAACGTGCTAAGTAAGACTGATTCGAATACTTAGTCTAATAGTGAAAGAAAGTTTTTTTTTAATAAAATAGAATGATGACCACGCTTGTGCAGGGGAAAAAGATTGTTTGTAATGGGATCTAACAGCCACATTGCTAGCAATATATCCTAATAGGTTGACCTCCATGCGATTCTTCCTGGAAACCATCATGGTTAATTGTCGATGAATTCGTTATGATGGGCCAACTGACCTGTCCTTTCATTCTCACCTATCATCCCTAATTGATATTCTACTAGCGTATACCGTATAGATGAATACACTTGGAATTCACCTCTATGGTTTCCAGGGGGAAGTTGACTTGATGTATACTGGGTATATTGTAAGCAAAGGGTCTGGTAGTCCGCATTACTAGCAAAATCCCTTCTCCACGGAGGGAAAAGTAAGGAGAAATTATATAAGGAAACAGTAGCAAGTGTCCAGCTAAGCTGTAAATAATAGTTCTAAATCCCTTCAGAATAGCGCTAGAGTATCAAGACTGAATTAAATTAATTTACCAGGTTTTGATGTAATGAAGTGCACTAGTTGAAAATTTAATATTTACTATTAGATTTACTATTTAGATTATTTATTTTAGTCGCGATTTCGTCTACGTGGCCGGGATATGTTTACTGAGCGGGATAAAAAGTAGCCTATACCTATTCTTCTCTATTTAAATAATATGTACGTACCAAACTTCCTTAAATTTCATTGTGATTAAATAAACCGTTAAGGTGTTATAAAGTAATAAACAAACTCAAATGCACATTTATAATATGAGTATTTTTTTTAATTAGAATGGCGACACAGTGCGATTTCAGAAGAGTTTCCTCCCGCAAACACAGCTTGTGGAATGGTCTTCCTACCGAGGCTTTCCCTAGAGACTATAGCATGGGGTTCTTCAAAAAGGGAGTATTAAGATTTCTTAAGGGTCGCCAACGTGTGCGTAACATCTCTGGTGTTACAGGCGTCCATAGGCTACGGTAACTCCGTATACCATCAGACGGGCCGTATGCTTGTTTGCTACTATAGTCGTATAAAAATATGTTAATAATTGATGCATATTTAATTTGCTTATAATCACTTGGTACATTTGATTGAACAGTGAAACTGCGTGCTTTATTTTGCGCCCTTTGTATTTTTATTGTTCAAATTCATCGCCAATCTCCATTGAAATTATTCATGTTTATTAACAACAGCTACCATTTCTATCAAATAAATATAATTCCAAATTATATATATATATATATATATATATATATATATATATATATATATATATATATATATATATATATATATATATATATATATATATATATATATATATATATATATACAAATAAATATAAGTTCATAAAGATAAAAGATGCTCCTTAAGTCTATTTTTAAAAATATTTTAACGGGTTAAAAATGTCATGTATTTGTCATCATTTCGTGATGACCTACTTCCACCTTTATTTTTCTATCATACATACATTTGTACTTAAATATTCAAATCGTTTTTCTACATGTGTGACAAAATATGTACATACTTATCATAAAACATTTGTTGATCATATTTTTAGGGTTCCGTAACAAAATACTTAACATTATATTGTTTTATGAGTAACTGATCCTGGAAATTTTGGATTCCTATATTTCGTATCCATTTTTTTAATCGGGATAAAACTGTCTTATCTCCCTGCCAAAGTTTTTTGAATAAATTTGTACAGCTCATTACCTTAATTATAATAATAGTTTTTATATTATGCGATAGTAGTTGAATAAAGCATCTGTCATACAATTGTTACAATAACATATATAACAATAACTAAGTTACTTTCTATAAGTGAAAGTTTAAAGTAAATTTTTAAAATTGGTTAAGTTTCTTTTTTGAGTACATCTAGTAAAAAAAAAAAAAATATACGGGCAATTAAAAAAACAAAAACAAGCTTTGGTTTTGTTTTTATAAAAAATCTACTGAACCATACACCATATTTTATGCATCGTACTATGAGCTTGTTTTTTTTTATTTTTTGGTATTGCGACAAAATAGTTTTTAAAACAAGATTGTTCACTTAGTGATATTCGTTGTGTCTTTAGCTACAGTAGGTAACCTTCTATATTTCATCACATTAATAATAATTTATGCAGATTGCTGCTAAACAATTTAGATTTATTTGTGCTTAAGTTAATAAAAATTGTGGGTTTTAATTAAAAAAAAAATAATAAACTAGATAATTAATAAGAAATGTGAATATAGGTAAGTAAAGATATTTATTATTATTATAGACTACCGGTATCCCGTGGCTTTACCCTCGTGTACAAAATATCCTGTGTATTAAGTTAGAATTTTAATTAGAATATAACGTATTCGTGTAACAAATTTAATTCAAATCCATTCAGCACGTCCACTATATATTATCTCAATTATTATTTTATTATATTATTAGGTTATGGAATCCATCATTAACCGTCAACTGCTCCGGTACCTAGAAGAGCACCAGCTGATCTGTGATCGCCAGTACGGCTTTCGACAGGGACGTTCGGCCGGTGATCTTTTAGCTTACTTAACACACCGATGGGCAGTGGCAATCGAGAGTAAGGGAGAGGCCTTAGCAGTTAGTCTGGATATCGCGAAGGCCTTTGATCGGGTGTGGCATAGAGCGCTGCTTTCAAAGCTACCTTCATTTGGGTTGCCTGCGAGACTGTGCATTTGGGTCGCCAGTTTTCTCAAGGAACGTAGCATTAAGGTCGTAGTCGACGGAGCATGCTCTGATTTAAAACCTTTGAATGCTGGTGTCCCGCAAGGCTGTGTACTATCTCCGACTCTGTTTCTTCTGCATATCAATGATATGTTACAGATAAGTAATATTCATTGCTATGCAGACGACAGTACAGGAGATACATTATATACCGGTCATGCAAAGATCTCGCGGGCACATACCGATGAGTGTCGGAATAGACTTGTGTCTGAAATCGAAACTTCACTCCATCAAGTTTCGATCTGGGGTGAACAAAATCTTGTCCAATTTAACCCCAAAAAGACACAAGTCTGCGCGTTTACCGCAAAAAAGACGCCGTTTGTCGTATCTCCTCACTTTCAGGGCACTTCCCTTGATAAAAAGTCGAGTCTAGGAATTCTGGGCGTTGATATATCTTGCGACGTCCAGTTTTGCGGTCATCTGGAGGAGAAGGCTAAGATAGCTTCCAAAAAGTTAGGAGTGCTCAATAGGGTGAGACGATATTTCATGCCAGAACACCGCCTGAAATTATATAAAGCCCAAGTCAGGCCGCATATGGAATACTGTTCTCACCTGTGGGCAGGAGCGCCACAGTACCAACTCCTTCCGTTAGACCGCATTCAAAGTCGGGCGGCTCGAATTATCGATAGTCAACGCCTTACTGTCCGACTTGATCCACTGAAACTGCGCAGGGATGTTGCATCTCTGTGCATCTTCTACCGAATTTATCATGGGGAGTGTTCTGAGGAATTGTTCGGATTGATACCTGCTGCTGATTTTCACCACCGTACAACCCGCCACAAACTAAAGTTTCATCCCAATCATCTGGACGAGTGGCGGTCTTCCACCGTGCGTTTTTCCACGCACAACCATTCTTTGGAATCAACTTCCAGCAGCAGTATTTCCGAACCGATACGACAACATAACCTTCAAGAAAAGAGTATATTCCTTTTTAAAAGGCCGGCAGCACACCTGCAATGCCGCTGGTGTTGTGGGTGATCATGGGCGGCGGTAGTCACTTACCATCAGGTGAGCCGCATGCTCGTTTGCCCCCTGTGTTGTAAAAAAAAAAAAATATTATATTTAAACATTTAATGGACCAAAAATTTCCAAAATAAAAATTATTATTATTATTATAACACGTAATACAATATGTTTTTATATTTATCCATATTACAAAAAGTTTTGGCTTATAATTTTACGACCGGCCGCCTGCCTGACATCAACCCTCTTTGGGAGGTTTTTTATATATTAATTTTCTTAATTTAAGTATATATCTTTCTTCTTTTTCTAACATGCCACTTTTTCTGTTGCTCCTTCTCTTATTGTTAGTCTTACTTTTCTATAATATACTGCAGCTGTCCAATGCTTTATTTTCTAACTTTACATCAAATGATGTTAATATTGGTAGAACAAATAGAATACAGGTGGGCCGTATGCTTGTTTGTTACCTCAGTGGTATAAAAAAAAACAAAGAAAATTATTTCGGGTACAGGGAGAAAGGGAGTGGAGGTATTGTTAATAATCCAGACTACCAGTCCCATTGCTAGCAATATACCTTGACAGAATGACCTCCACGCGGTTCCACCCTGGATACCACCGTGCTAATTTCTAGGCATATTCATCACGAATAGCTAACTGACCTGCCTTTTCATTCTCATTTAACACTGGTGCCCTGCCAGCGTATATCGTAAACGCAGGCGGGGTTACCATTTCATTATCATTTATTAAAAAAAAGGGTATTATTATGTTATATTATTAGGTTATATTATGTTCACCACAATGGTGTTGCCGTTGTGGTAAATCTTAGTCCTGGGGGGAAAGTGATTGTTAGTAATGGAGACTAAGAATCCCATTGCTAGCAATATACCCAACCAGGTCGACCTCCTCGCGTTTCCCCTTGGAAACTATCATGGTTAATTCCTAATGAATTCATCATAACTGGCCTGTTTTTTTTTTGGCCTGTATTATTGAAAATTCTGTTTACTCGCGCGAATTCAAATCACTAGTTTCAATATTTCACTTTGGTAGATTCTTGTTATCGAGGTAACAATTGAGTTTAAAATTCAAGGAATTGATAATTCAATTAGTTATTTTTTTACCATGATACATGATAATCTTGTCGATTTTCATGATATCATTATAAAGAGTTTTTGAGAATGTATTTTATTAAAATTAACTAAATTATTTTTGGTAAAAATATATTGTACAAATCTTTAAAAGTTAGATTCCTAAATTAAGCCGTCTGAGATATGAACACGTTTTCACAATCTCGTAATTTATAACTTTAAAAGAGTCTACTTGGGCTTCAATTAAATTACGACTCTGAGTACTAACATTTTATTTATATTTCATTAAAAAATATACAAAATAAAAAAAAAAAACATTATTTTACACAGTAAACCTGTTACAATATTAGAAGTAATAGCTAAACTTATTTCCTAAACGATTTTCACCAAGACACCAAAAATTAGAAATATGGAAAAAAATTACGAGTATGAAGAGTTAGCAAAAATAGCGTTATTCAAATTTTCAAAAGAGTTTGGTATTGAAGAAGTTTCTTCATTACTAAAGTATACTTTACAGTTATCACAGTAAGTAGAAAAAATATGACACGCTTTGTATTCATATACCTAAAGTAAGGTGCTCCCTCAAAGTAGGTACGAGAAATAAAAATTAAATATATAAATCTCTGTATATTGTTACATCTATGGGGGTGGTATATTTTTAAAGAATAAACCCTCTTTAATAACAAGATAAATAAAGGTGCTTCCTACATCGATGACGTCTATGATTATTAACAGAACAAATTCTTGTAAAGTCGCGACCTTAATATGACAATAGAATGACGTCTATTTAGCGTCGTAGACGTCACCATGATATTTCAGTTGCGGTGTTTATCTCCATCTACGATTTGTGAGTCATCCCTTGGCTTCAGCATAAGTTGAAATCCATTCACTGGAGCGGTAGATATAGCTATGGTTAGTTGTAGATCTTTATAAGCATTTAACGACGTCACTTCGAATTCCCTAAGGATTCTCACAACTATTGTCTTTATTAATTTGGTGCCGAAGTATCTTCCTGTAAATAGAGTGAATATTTCAATTACATTTCAAACTTTTATTACCTTTTATTCTGCTTGTTTCGTAATGGAATCTCGTATTTTTTAACGCTAGGTTCATTAAATGATGGGTAGGATGGGCCTATGTCTTTATACACTTCTCTTTCTTACTTTCATAAATCGTCCAATGTAAAGGTATACGAAAATTGCAGAGACTGAATATATTCGTTAAAAACATACAAAACAAAATTTCCTTACATGCAGTTTCGTATAATCCAGACTTGCATTATCGAGACTTAATTGGCAGGGTAAATGGTAAAAGGAAAATATTTTGCGTGAGATCTTTTGGCCCAAATTGGTTATGGGCAAGATATAATTCAAGCGAGGCTCTTTGGTAGCACAAAAAGATTGTTAAAAAACGGGTAGATCTCTGTCTAAAAAAAGAAAAACAAAATCCGCACGGCGCGGAGCCCCTTTGACCGCAAGATCGTGGCCCACGTTGCCAATGCTTGCCTCTGGATTTCTAAAAGTGCTGGATTACTTTTATTGGATACTCAAATTTTATTTGCTGTTATTTGATCCAAATTTCTTTGGGAAAGTTCAAGTTGCGTGTTCAATTTCAAATAAGTCAGGCATAAGCATACATATTCCCTAAAAAAGATGCTAACGATTTCTTCCTGTATAGGAGACGGTTAAAATAAAAATTAAAAGACTAACCCAAACAATCCATTGGGCCCAAACTGAAGGGTATATAGCAACTGGCATTACGTAACTTTGTATTTACTGGATTAAACCTCTCCGGATCGAAGTCTTCCGGTTTCGTCCAGAAACGTGGATCCCGATGTATATGATAAATCGGAATTACCAATGATGCTCCCGCTGGTACCACGCTCGAATCTAGGAACATCAAGTAACTAATTACAGGTTAATATGTAAGTGAAAAAGAAATGGGGTGGTTAAAATTACGATAGCCTTCAAGTAGGTATGGCAGTGAATTTACAGGATACAGAGGCATAACACCTAAGTCCTCAGGAATGGCAACGCATGGAGGGTCATCATGGGCGAAACAGTATAATCTATTATGTCCATGGTACTGTTCATGTCTATAGGTGAGGGTTACCGTTTTCCATTAGGTGGACCGTGAGCTAAGTTGCATAAAAATAAAAGTTCGAGGTTAGGATTTTTATCTGATTCTGATCTGATTTTGATATTTATTTTGACGCACTGTATTCGCAGATGGGGTAATTAGAGGCATTCATCATCGACAGGTAACGTCGTACGTTATCTTCATTTGATATGCGCACAGTATTACAAAAAAAAAATGTAAATAAATGAATATATAAATCAATAAAAAAAAAATACAAAAAAGTCTTTCAAAAAAATTACTTATTTCCCTCATTTATGAAATAGTTTGAAAAGTAAGATGACGTTGGAGTTTGTGGATGAAGATAATAGATCTCCCAAAATTTGGCCAATATCCACCCATGAGAGACATGACTTTTTTCTTTATTGATAACTAACCTAGGACAATATCTTCTGTGATTGTCCTTTGTAGCATAGCACCAATCGGAAAGAGACGTAGCACTTCTTTAAAAACCATGTCTAAATACGGCATTTGTTTAAGGTCTTCACTGGTAACATGTCTGTCCTTATCTCCGATAACAGTTTTTATTTCTTTATATAGCTTTTCCTGAAATATAATTTCCATGATCTTATTTTTAGTCGTATGTTGTGCAATGTAACTACAAGTACCTACTTAAACTAAACGCAATAACCGCTTTCAACGTAACAAAATAAATATGTAACCAAAACAAAAGAGAGTAAACCTATATAGGTTGAAAGAATCATCAAAATCGATGCAGGTTTGACGAAGATACACACAAAAATTTTAGTTAAATGAAAACCAAGTTTTTGAAATTGGGTAATAAAATTTTTCGACAGCTACATTAATTTGTAAAGTATAATTCAATAAAATATTTAAAAAGAGAAATATTTACTTGACAATCTGGATGGTACGCCATCATCAATAGCGTAAATGATGATATTTTCGCTGAAGCTTCCTGGCTCTGAAATAACATAAAAAAATTTTCATCATATCATCATATTAGCTAATAACTGATCATTACAGAACATTGGCCTTCCCTATTAGGTTATGTCAGTAGCTACCATTGGCAAGCGGGTTGACAACCGCAGTTAGGTTTTTGGTGATGTTTAAAGAGGAACGCTGCTGTCCATCCTTCGATTATTAACTTTCCCTATTCGCCTTTTACGATTTATTTTATTGTTGTGTGGGTGTCACACACGATTAACAAATTTATTAATGTTTTTTTTTTATACAACTTAGAATGGCAAGCAAGCTGACGGCCCACCTGATGGAAAGTGGTAACCGTCGCCTATTGACATGAGCGGTACCATGGATATAACAGAGTATACTGTTTATAACAGAGTATATTATCTCGCCCATGATACCCCCCATGCGTTGCCATTCCTGAGGACTCAGGTGTTATTCCTCTGTACCCAGTAAATTCACGCCATATCCCACCCTTCAAACCGAAACACAGTTATGCAAACACAACTGCTTCACGGTTGAAACACGAATGGGACAGAGGGCTACCTCTGTCCCATTCCAATCCCAATCCCAAGCAATCGACTTTTGTATAAAGTCTCCCTCTGGTAAGAATAATGTTTATAAATTATTAAAAGTTACAGCCATATCAGCTGGGTCTGTCATTGGTCTCATTGCTATAAATATATCTATTCGACAGATTAAAGTTTTCACGGTCCCATTTGGAAACCACTACGGATATTTATCATAATAAAAATTTAGAATATGAAATCGCGTCTTTATACGTAGCTTTTGCTTCATAACAAGCAGTTTTTTGCTCCATAAAGAAAAGCAGTACCTTTACTCGTCGCAAAAATTAATAGGAGACCAACGCGGCAGTGAACCCTATGCATTGCAAAGAGAATTCTGAAAATCAGTTCAGTATGGGTGATGTAATATAAATAACTTATCTGCAATATATCAAGAATGGGGGGAAAGGGATTGTTAGTAATGGAGACTGAGAATTTCCACTGCTAGTAATATACCCAACCAGGTCGACCTCCTCGCGGTTCCCCCTGGAAACTATCATGATTAATTCCAAATGAATTCATCATGATGGGCTAACTGGCCTGTTTTCATCCTCATCGATCACCATTCGCTGGTGTCCCGTCAGCGTATCGCGTTAGCGCAGGCGGGGTTACCATTCCACTTTCATCCAATAAAAAAAATATCAAGAATCTAGATTCAGCGGTTTCGGTTGTGCATTGATATATGGGTTAGTCAGTTAATCAGCATCTTTTATATTTGCGGTATTGTATGTTTGTGTGTGTGTGTGTGTGAGTGTATGTGACACAATTATGACACTTACAGACGTAAAAATTGTGAAGGTTTCTTTTAATAATTCATCTCTCTTTAATTCCTGGGATAATATAAACCTATCTATCACGCTCAGTTTTGTATTCCTCGACGAGTCTTCTTCGGAATTCATCAGATTCATCTCCTCTTTCTCCAGATTCTTTAATGTTTCCATTCTATGTTGTACGATTTTAGCGCTGAATTCCGTCATCATTTCTATAAATTGTTTTTGTTGTTGATATTCCTTTGTCATCCAGAATATGGGTTCAATTTGCAAATACCACTTAGTCATTCTATCAAAAACGATGTCGTACAACCTGAAAAATTACGACTGGTTATTATATTGATACTATTAGCATGCCCAACTTGCATCCGACCAGAGGGAGACTGTACAAAAGTCGTTTGCTTGGGCACCTCTGTTCCATTCGTGTTTCAACCATGAAGCAGTTGTATTTGCATGGCTGTGTTTCGGTTCGAAGGGTGGGATATCGCAGTGAATTTGCAGGGTACACAAAAATAACACCTGGATCCTCAGGAATTGCAACATATGAGGGGTATTGTAGGCGAAACAGTATACTCTGTTATGTCCATGGTATTGCTCATGTGTATAGGCGACGATTACCACTTTCCATCAGGTAGGCCGTTAATTTGTTTGCGATTCTAAGTTGCATAAAAAAAAAGCCCGAGTATTTAAAAAATTAGAGTGGGCATATTAGTGCCCGTTCTTATTACAATTACAAAAGTACTGCATTAAAACAAAAATTGTAGTAGAAACAGAGTTACTACAGTTGCAAATTGTGATACAAGAGTATATCTAAGGTCGAGCCAAAGAGCCACTGTTGCTATCCATTCTTTTCTTTCTTTTTTCAATATCTTTTTTCTTTGTTAAATATCATTTTAACTGAAATACTTACGGTGGTGTTTTCTCTATAATTGGGTGTATATGAGGCAAGTTTATGGTTTGTTCCTTATCTAGACCCATTAAGGTTTCTGTAAAAGAACACAAAATATAAAGTTTCATTCTTCTATTATTATTTATTTATTATTATAATCCTATTCAAGTATAGATTCACTCGTGATCGTACAAATATATCTATAGCTAACAAATCAATTTTTAAAAATGACTCATTAAAATCTACTGTTTATATCAACCTTCATAAATGGGTTTATTATTTATTTATGCTTTCTAATATTTTGTAAAAAATATATCTATAAACATGTCCACCTAGTATAGATTTCGTTTTAATTCTAATCAGAATCTAGTTCAGAGAGAATGGAACAATGGAACTTTTTCTTCTATCTATAGGCATGTATACGTAACTACGTGGGGAAACCAACTACGTTGTTCATACTCACGACAAACCACGTAACTCGTAGTGGTAACAATACATTCATATATATCGAACTGTCGATTTATTGGAATAGATCTGAGCTTCAACATTAAAAGATCTGTTTCACGATTAAACACAGATTCGTAGCTTTCAATCGCTCGTTTGCCATAGTTAGGATTTGCAATTTTACGATGTTTTCTCCATGTAGGACCTGTAAACAAGCAGATTCACTTAGTACAAGTACAGTATGAATATAACATAGTACTGTTTTATAGGTATTAGTATAGACAATCTAGTCTATTTAAGAAGAAGAGAGTTGTCCAAGCTCATTCTTGCGTTGAGACTACTTATTGATATTATGAACCAGTATCCACAATTAGACGTATTTGCCTCCAACTTGTTGGAGTTTAATCCAATGGCCATGAAATATTTATGTTCAGTTACTTAAAGTTTAGAAATTTATTTCTATTATTGTTATATATTAGTACGTATATCGCGTTGTTATATATTGTTTAATATTCATTTATCATATTTTGTTTGTACTGATACTTTCCGAAGTAAGCATATTGGGAAACTGAAAAGCTCATCTAGTCGATTCAATAAATAAATAAATGTAAAGGTGAAATATTTGTTTATAATGGATAAACTCAATAACTAGACAACCGATTTAAAAAAAAAAATACCTATAGAAAACTACATTATCAGCGATCAATAGGGGCTGCATTTTATTAAATAAATAAAAAAGCTAAAAAACTATTCGATGCCGAAGCAGGGTCTCTAGACAAGTGGCAAGCGAATTCGTCGATGGAATCGACATCGCGAGCGAGTCCGTAAGTTAGAATGAGTCATCTAACGTTGCTTTCTCATTCTATCTCACGGACTCGCTAGCGATGTCGATTCCATCGACGATTTCGTTTGCCATTTGTCTACAGGCCCAGGTCACTTGTTTGCCGTAATTGTAGTCAATTAAAACACTAGTTTTTTTTATACTTTGAATAGATTTTATAATTGTTACAATTTACCTGAGCCACTAAGTATTCCGCCGCCCAATATATCCACCATAAATCGGCACTGGGGACCCTTGTAGCTGTTCTTGTTATTTGTGAGGATAGTCTGTAAATATTATAAATTAATTAATGTTAATGTATGTATATGTGTTTTTATTTAATGGACTATAATAGAATGGTACCCTGCCTGCGCTAACAGTATACACTGGCAGGGCATCAGTGTAGTATAATAGGTGAAGATGAAAAGGCAGTCAGTTAGCCCATCGTGATGAGTATACCTGAAATGCAGCACTATGGTTCCCAGGGGGGACGGTTAGAGATTGTCCTGACTGTATTATTAATGATATTAATATATCCTATATTGCTTGCAATGGGTCTGTTAGACTCCATTACTAACAATACCTTCTCCTCTCCCCTGTATCCGTGTATTATATGTGTCACAGTACACTTAACGGCTGATATGATATGATCGTGATTATAATTATGAAAGTAAAAAAATAATGTCTAAATGACATTAGGAGTTAGAAATTGAAATATTTAATGAATTGATTTTTTATTTGTATTACTATTAAACATTAGCTGTACAGGTCCTGGAATAGAAAGAGGTGTGTGGGGGGGGGGGGGGGGAAGGGTGGCCTCCCTTCCTTCCCGTGGGTGTCGTAAGAGGCGACTAAGGGAGCTTGTGGTGAAGGGATGGGCAGCAGCGTCCCTCTTAAAACATCACTTAAAGCCAAACTACGGTTGCAAATACGCCAAGCGTGGCAACTGCTGGCAAAACTTCCCTTGTAGGGGGAGGTTATGAGCAATGGACAGGTAATGGCTTATATTACAGCTATTAAAGTATTAAACATTAGCAAATTGCCTTACAGTCGGTTCAATTATTCGTTTATCCACATTCCCATTAGGTTACATTGAAACAAATTATGCTAGCCATATTTCCTGTTTGTACCGCCAGAATGACACGCTGGCTAAAGCGAGCGCTTTGGTCTCTGGCCCTTTGGTTGCAGACAAAGTAATAATTTGTAATTATTATCAGTCTAATTACATCTTACATGTGTATAATATTACCTTAATAGAGTCCGGGTCGCTGACAACTATATTTAGATCCGGCCCCAGCCAGAACCTCATAACATCGCCATACTCGCGTATTAGTTCCTTAATCACTGTTATTAGTTCTGAAACAAGAGCAATCTTGACATCAATGGGCGTTATAGAGAATTAGTCTTTCATAGAATGCAGGTATAAAACCACTCAACAGTGCATAACTACATTAATGCAATTTTGTTGCGTTTCCTTATAATCAACTGTACAAAATACAATATACAAAAATCCAAACAATGAACTGAGTTGTAACCCTTATGGCATGCAAGAAAGAAAAAAAATTGTTACTTTATGTATATTGCTTTTTTGTGTATACATTATTTTATCTCTTTACTGTGTATGTCTGTTGTTATTTGTGTATAAAAAATCTAATTGATAATAAATTATTATTGAGATAACCAATTATAAAATTACATTATAAAATACATAAATATGCGTTAATTTAAAAATTTGCTGCACAAGAGAGTAGCTACTTTTGTCGTAATTAAATTACTACGAGACCTACACAGGAGTGAAGACTATGTAATGTAAAAAGACTGATAAAAGTCGGTTCTGAATTATCGAGGATATCGTGTAGTTTACTCGTCAAATATATCGAACCTAGGACCTATATGTATATAATTAAAACGTTCCTTATTTCATAGGTATCCGGTATTCTAATTTTAACGGAAGAAAAGAGGAATAGAAAAGGAGCAGCGAGATCTATGGAAAAAAATTATTATATACAGATTACCTCACAACCTTCGGCAAACGATACAGAACTAGGTTCCTTTGCCGAAGGTTCTGAGGTACCCTGTATGTATGCCATCATCTGTACGACCTATTCGTCGTGTGAGAATAACGTCCCCTGGTGTCCAGTTACCACACTGCCTTCATTGTGTTCTCTGAAGCTTGAGGTAAGTGAAAATGAAATTTAAATAATCCAAATATACATAAAATATTCAAAGGTTTTGGTTATAAGTCACAGGAGCCAGCTGCATAAGTCGCGAGGCTGTATTTGTGCAGAATATGCAGCATGGGAAAAGAAGCGAAGGCAATGTTTTTGTGCAATAAAACACAAGGTTTGTTTGGGTTTATCCTTACTTTTAGCTTGCTATAGTAGTTCTAAGTAGAAAATATCTGCTTTCAACCGATTTCAAAATAGGAGATTTTTAGTTGTATCCTTTTTTGTTTGTTGCGTCATTTATAAACCATTTGAATAGTTCCTTTTTTTATCTAAAGGTTATACTTTAAAATTGGTGCCATAGAAATGTTCTCAAAATCGGTTAAGTACATTAGTTTTTAAATCGAAATAACTGATTTTGTTACGGTTGAAGTTAGTATTTTTTTTATGAAACAATACTAATTTATGGAAAGCAATATTAATTGCCTAACGTATAGACAAAGTAACACCACACAGTTACGAAACATGATTTAGATTCAGTGTTAAACATCTATTGTCACCACAGTAACGAACAGCACATGTATTATTTATGTGTGTAACAGTAACTTAACCTGTCAGAATATCAACGTTACTGTCCATATATGAATATGTAATTTCAACATTTGAGGAACTCTGATCTACCAAAATAAGAAAAAAATACCAGAAATAAATTAAAGATAACGGCTGCATAGGCTTAATCCTTTTGCCTTTCCTATTGATAAAGAAAACAGAACAAAAAAAATCAACGTTACTGACAGCATCCACTGTACGTGCCTAGCATTTACTGTTTACTGTCCCTGAAATAAAGGTCTTTTTCTTTTCCCTTGAACCTATGATTTTTGTCTTTATCATGTGATTTTTTTTAATCGACTTCAAAATAATTTTGTGTCCTTTAAAAAAACCGACTTTAATTGTTTCAAAACCGGATACTTTAAAATTAAACTACCGAACAGATTTTAATAATTTTTTTATGAAAATATATCCTTTCAGATAAGTCTGTGATCACTGTACTGATAAATGATCAATGATCTTATTATTTTTAATACTTATATTTTTTTTTATTTGATATCTATATACGAGTACATACGAGAAATTAATAAATTCCCTGTGTTTTTGACGATTACGACAAGTGTTTTGACTTCACAGCGTTACAGTGTTCCGTCACAGTATCTTGTCACGCCTTTTGAGACAAAAACACAATGAGTTCATTAATTCCACGTATATATATATATATATATATATATATATATTACTTGAATATATAAGACCGATTCTTGTTTCTCAGTGAGGCTAATGATCATACGCAGTGTCAATAACCTCCGACTTAAATTTCCCACTCATTTTTCTTCCTTTTATTCTAAATTCTTTACTGTTCAGGCAGTTCGTCTATGGAACTCACTACCTACCTCTATTCGGTGCGCTCAAACTCTTACTAGCTTCAAAACCTCTGTTAAATCTTACTACCTCTCACTTTAGTACTATTTTCCTGTGTTCTCTCTTCGTTTTCCTTCGTCATTTTTTTTTCTGTTGTATGTGTGCTGTTAAGTATGTGTATGTATGTGTATATATGTATGTATGTATCTATATATGTTTGTATATTATAATATTTATATAATAGTGCGCCACCTACTCTTTGTCTTTTTCTCAATGTCCTCTACCCAAAGGTTGTCTGGAAGAGATTGCTTAGCGATAAGGCCGCCTTTTGTATCACTTCTCATTAATATTTACTGTATTTGTTATTTCTCTTTTTACTTGGTGCAATAAAGTGTAAATAAATAAATAAAAATAAATAAATACTTGCACCACATGTTTATATAAAGATGTGATGCAAGTAAACAAGTAAAGGACTGTTTCTTTCTCTGTTTCTCATCTCTATAGCTCCTAAAAATTTGCATCGGATGCACATATCACTCGCAAATTGTTTCTCCTTTAAACTTAAGATCACTTTATTTTTTTAACACAAAGGGAAAACAAGTATGCTGCTCACCTGATGGCGAGTGTCATGAGCATCCGCAACACCGAGAGAATTGAAAGTGTATTGCCGATCTTTTAGGAAGGAATATTATGTTCTTTTCTTGAAAGAACCGATTTCGTATCGATTTAGGAATTTTGTTGCTAGGAGGTGATTCCAAAGCGAGGTTATGTTTTCACTGCCATATTTTTTCAATTCATTCCAATTTCGCTTCAAGCAAGCATATTCTTTGGCAGCAAAATATGTACGTATTATTATTATATCAGCTGTTAAATCCACTGCTGAACATAGGTCCCTGAACCCCCTGAGCATTAGGGTATTTTGCCAGTAATTGCCACACTTGGTAGGCGGGTTAGCAACGGCAGTTAGGTTTTGGTGATGTTTTAAAAGGGGCGTTGCTGCCCATCCTTTGACCATCAAGTTCCCTAAGTCGCCTCTTAGAATACCCACGAGAAAGGAAGGGGTGGTAAATTCTATCCTGGGACCATACGGCATAAAGGATATGTAGGTATAGGTAAGACATATTTATTTATAAACAGCCTTGTACAAAGTCTGTGTGGTAAAAACATAATATTTGCGATTTTTAGTTACGTCAATTGTCAGCTTGTAAAAACAATATTTTTTGCGATTTGAAATGTCAAGGAAACACTTACCACTTTCAAATAAGGGGGAACATCAGCCCACTTGATTGAAAGTAGTGGTAATTTCCTATAGATAAAAATAACACCATGGATATTCAACAACATAGGGGGAAAGGGATTCTTTGTAATGCGGACTACCGGTCTCATTGTTAGAAATATACCTTGTCAGGTCGACCTCCACGTGGTTCACCTGTAAACCATCATGCTGAATTCCAGGTCACGATGAAGTAACTAATCTGACGTTTCATTCTCACTTATCATCCCTCACTGGTGCCGCGCCAGTAAAAATCTTTAGCGCAGGCGGGAGTACCATTCTGTTATCAACCATTAAAAAAATCCCACAATATAATGTGATGCTCATGGTACCTTTTACTCATTGCTATTACTGAGGACTTAAAAGAGAATTAGACCTCGATTCTCTGTAATTTAATTGCCATCTCAAAACAGCTGCTTAATGGCCTAAAAGCACTAGTAGAACATGTGGTTACCTTCAGGTTTGCAAACAAATTTCAGTGCATTGCCGAGTCCCGGTAATGTTGGCGGTCCAGGAAAATTTTTTGCCATCGCCAGAAGTCTTCTGTTTTTGTACCTCCATCTTAGCCAGAACGATGCAAGAACGCTTACTAAACCCAGTAGCACCCAGGACATTCTGTAATCTGTAACAAAAATTATTTTTGTTGTTACTATGAGAAGTTTAAAATTGGGTATCGTTTGTCAATCCACGATTCCTTGGAAAAAATATTTAGTTCTACTGATTGAACATAATATTCCCTTAAAAAGACGCTAATGTTTTTAATTTTAACCTATATTTATTATCTTGACTTAATGGAGATTTTTTTAATGGATGATAATAGAATGATAGCCCCGCCAACGCTATCGATATATTCTGGCGTAGCACCAGTGAGAGATGATAGGTGAGAATGAAGCAGGCCAGTTGGCCTATTGTAAAGAATTCAATAATAAATCAATCACGATGATTGCCAGGAGGGACCACGAGGAGATCGATCTGATAGGGCTATTATATTGCTAGCAATGTGGTGACTAATACACGTTACTAACAATTCCATTCTCCCCTAACGAAGATATTAGCCTCCATTACTAGCAATATATTTATTTGTTTATTGTATACTTATAACACGGCGGAACAGCGCTGAACGCGGCGGAACAACGCTGAACGCTCTCTATAGCATTCGCATGATAAATACACATTTATCTTCATTTTATACTGAGTTGCTGCGAAAGCAGAATACACGCGGAAAGATGAATGGATGCGTACACGTCTCCATACAAAATCGTTGTTTTCTATGGACAAAAGCTGAATAAAGCTAAATAAATGTGAGTAGTTCCTTAGTCGCCTCTTACGGCACATACGGTAAAGGAAGCGGTAGGCAACTATGCCGGTACCACACAGCTGTAAAATGTTTCAAAAATATACTTATATTTATTTTTAATTATTAGTTAAAGGACTTTAATACCTACAATAGTTATCTGTCGTTTATATAATAATTATTCTATGTATTTGATAAACCACGTAACATATCATTTATCTGATTTACCTAAGTATGTTATAATAGGTAACTATTAGATACATGTTTGAAATTTATAGCACTCGGTTATCCTATGTTCTTACCAAGAAGTGCAAAAATGGTCACACATTGTAATTATTACTGTTGTCAAGTGTCATTACGAAGAATAATTATCTGTATGCACTGGACTAGGCATAGGTCTGTAAGAGATTGCCCTAGCGATTAGATCGCCTTTTGTATCTTTATATATAACTATATTTCAATCTGTATTTATGTTATTGTATTTCACTTGAATTATTCAATTGTTATTGTACATTTTTGTTTCTGGTGCAATACAGAGTTAAAAAAATAAATAAATAGGTATTATTGAGGCGCAAATACACGTCCGTTCATTCGTTGAATAAAAAAAAGGACATAGCAAAAGGCTTTGTTCCTATAATGCGTTTTATTCATAAAGAATACAGATTTTCAAAAGACTTCAAAAATAGAAAATTCATAATTAGGTTATATTATTTTTATGTTTGTTACCTCACAACTTCGACAATTTTACTCCGATTTGTAAAAATTATATCGAAAGGATATTGATTGGTTCTATAGAAATTTTATCAAAATTGGTTTTTGTAGTTTAGTTATTTGATCAAATAACTGGTTTTGTCACATTTGAAGTCTGTTTTTTTTTTCGGAAGACACAATCTTTAATTATTATGCATGAAAATAGAAACTACGCCTACGCTAGAAAGACGAGGATAAAGTCAGGTCAGTTGACCTATCATAATGTTTTCATCAGGAATTAACCACGGTGGTTTTCAAAGAAGATCACATATGGGTCGATCTGATAATACAGTATTATAAGCAACACATACATATACATCTGTCATACCTGTCATCCATCAACATAGGCAGAAACAATTATTATTAAGCAATTTGGCTGTTAATATCTGTTAATAAAAACCGTGTTTAAAAAAATGGCTACATACAGTACATTTACGGGGTTCAATATATTTAATTTTTATATATCTAATTACCAGCCAGAACCAGGTTATCTAACCAGATAAATCTCCAAGCCTGTTACTTTAATAAATCATCATCATGGAACACTCAACTCTGGAGCACAAGCGACTACTAACAATAAATTGGGTAATCAAATTGGTAAAATGTATTCTCGAATGTATAATGAGTACATTATGTCATATTCGCATAATAAATATATAATATAATACCATACGGACACGTGCTACACATGTATGAGTGCTGTTAAATATATAATTAATTTTTTGTCTCACAACCTCTTAATCAATTCGACGGTTGGCCTTTGTTTTCTGAAGATAAATGGGCTTCCTGTTAAGGTTTCCTCAAAATACTGCACGTAGTTCTTCAATACAGGCGGGAAAAAGATTCTTTAAAATCACAAACTTACAGGATACCTTTGATGTTGCTTTTTCGATATTCTCGTATTATATAAAAGTACTACAAAACCTACCACCTTCACAGACTTAAACTTACTTTTTTCTTTTTAAGCGTCTTTAAAAAGAAGGACAACCAGAGATATAAGTGAAAAGCTTACGATTGTAAACAGAAAAGCAAAATTCAATTCTAAATTGGTGAAGATATTTATTACTAGCTTATTTTTATAACAAAAAATATAGTTGAAAGTTTTCAAATTCTAGTTATGACACGTTTTTGAACGCATGTTACGTTACCTAAAGTACTTGTTAGCGTTTTTTGGCAAAAGTTTTGACCTTTTTTCAACTGAAAACTTCACGATTGTAAACACATGGAATCTTCAGGACCTATACGATAATTTACTCGTATTTTTTATTACTTATATTAGAAATAACCAGTACATAACAAACACTTCTGCAATAGAGTTTGTAGCGCTTGTGAATATAAACAACGTACAAAAGAGTTTTTATCGAAAATTTACAATCGTAAAAAATGACGATATAAAAGTGCTTGCTATTTTTTAGTTTCGTTATGTAAAATGGGAGATATTGAACTCTTTTAAAAAAATTAACTCAAAACCATTGCATTTACACGCTTACCTCAAATAGAAACACACCACAAACCGCTGACAATGTCAAAAGCTAACTACTTACTTTAAGGAAATATTTTTATGCGATGTCGTAGTATGTTAGTCCAGTTAAGCATTCAAAGGTCATTCTTGTGATGTGCAAAAATTTTATACGATTCAGTTCAGATATATATATATATATATACATATATATATATATATATATATAAATATACATATATATATATATATATATATATATATATATATATATATATTTTTTTTTTTTTTTTTTAAATAACGGATACTATAGTTGAAATATATTGTTTTGTTTATGATTGTACATTAAGAGTGAGTAATATACAGCAATAGATATATACTCGTATTTTAGTTGCAATATCTATATACTGATCCAATAACAAATATGTTGAAAGTTTGTTATCTAAAAAATAATATTGAATAACAGATTTTTAACGTATTCGAAAATAAATATCCGAAGGAAATGAGTCTTTTTTCCGCCATCAATGTCCAGAGTAACCCAATAATATACCCATCGGATTGGTATCCGTCTAACTTATACCTATTGTACGAGTACATTACTATTTAGTAGTAAGTAAGTAAAAAAATATAAAGGTAACCTGGTTTGTCTTCACTTCACTTCACGTGATGTTTTGAGTTCTTTTTCATTTCCTAGGTCTATATCTAGTACTATGTTAAAAATCTATTTATTGTAAAGTGTTTAAAAAGTAATCTATAAATAGGAAATTTACAATATAATACAGATTTTATATTAGGTTGAACTAAATAAATATTTTATTTATTAATAACATTGACGTTACTACTAAAAATCCAATGCTGGAGATAGTAGACCTTTCCTAATGAAATGAAGCACTTACAATAAATAAATAAAATAATTAGCAATTGGAAACATTTTTATATAAAAGATTAAAATTGTTTTCTATTGTTGTTTTATATAAAACTAGCGGCACGTCCCGGCTTTGCGTAAGTTTTTGAGAATAAAGTACAGTCTATATTATTCGCTGATAATATATGTAGCTTTCTATTGATGAAAGGGTCTTTAAAATTGATTCAATAGTTTTGGATCTTATCCATAATAAACAAATATACAAAAGCCCAATATTTTCTCTTTATATTATTAAGTTTAAGAAGTTTAATTGACAAAATAAAATGTAATAATTATTAATAGATTTTATAATTTAATTATAATATATTAGATTAAAGTATATTAATTGTATGACGTAAAAAATTCTGTAAAGTCACTTTATATTTACATTTAGGACTATATAATTCTTTCTAAGAATTAATCAATGTATTTTTTTGTATGTTTGTGGAATGGATAAATTAAAAAAACTATTCAATGAATTTTAAATATTCTTTCACTTATAGACACACATTTTGACATTATCTATGAAATAGAAATTTGAGGTCTCTACAAAAATCACAATAATGGCACAGAAACTATATAATTAAATATATATATATATATAAGAATAACCCGAATTAAAAAGGTGGAAAGGTCATGTCCGTTCTGTACATTAATCAGGTATTATTTCAAATAATTGCTGCCTTGCAACCTGTGTGCATATGTTTTGGACATGGTTACATTCACGATGTGGTTTGTGATTCTTCCAGGTGTTTAGTTTGCTTAAAAGTAATTTATTAATATTGACAATAAAGTATTTTTTAGAATTAAATGGCATGGTAATTCCACCTATACATTAATGGGTGATAAGCGAGGATGAAGTCAAGTTAATTGGCCCATCGAGATAAATTTATCTGAAAATTAATCATATTATATTTCAGAAGGGGCCACGTGGAGGTTAAACTGATGAGGTATGTTATTAGCAATGGAGCTGTTAGAACCCATTACTAACTATCCCTTCTTCCAACAGCAAAGTATTAGATACCATTTTTGGTGAAAATTGAAATTTTGAAGAAACGTGTGTCCAGGGTCGCCAAGAGCCAAAAATTAATAAAGAGTTACATCAAATTCGACGTTGGTAGTTTTACAAATTTTGATTGAAAATACCAGACACTTCACAGGAATTTTTTTTAGTAAGTTGACAATGGAATGGTAAACACGCTTGCGCTATTGGTAGACGCTGGCAGGGTACCAGTGTGGAATAAGGTAAGCAAATTAACTGGCCCGTCGTGACGAATTCATCAAGAATGGACTACGATGAAGTCAAGGGTCGATTGTACGGACGGGGACCTGTCTGTATTGCTAATAATGGGAAAGCTATTCTCCGTTATTAACAATTCTTTTATCTTCTGCAACTACACGTTACCTTCTAGTACATACCTCCGACGAACTTTTCATTTTTAGGGACACCATTAAAAATTTTTGCCCATGGCGTCAGATGGCCCTGATGACACCATAGAAATAACATATTTTCCTTATATACCATGCTTATAGACACGTGAGGTGCATTATTAAAATTTAATAAAGCCTGATGTAAAATAAATCTACCTAAATTGCAACCTTCCAACTATCCTTGTGTCCAAGGCTGTCAAGTTAAGAGACATTTTTGTCCTTATACGTAAGCAACCGTATCTTTTTCCAAGAAAAAAAATTACATGTCGTTTCGTAATGTGTCTGTGTTATGAATACGAAATTGTGTTTGTAGTTCTGACGGGGGATTTTTATTTGAAATTAACCTATGGCCTCTCGCTTACACGCATTATTCATGTTCTGCTTTCTAAAAAACTCACTACTTTACATTTTTCCACTAGCCAGTCTTGTCAGGTAATCTGGCCTAAACTGGACATTTATTTTTTTGCAATTCTGAGGAAATATATATCTTTTGGAGAAGCGGAATAGATAGGAGGTGATTTTAAATAAGTCGCAACTTCTGTTCAACTTGGTTGAACCTTTAAACTGTGCTTTCAACTTCAATTCCACAGGAAAGCCGATGCCTCCGAAATATAAAAGAAGCATTTCACAAAGTGCTTTCTGGGTGCATCAAGTTTTTTCTTATGACTCGAAACTGATAATTCGAAATATCTACCTAAATGGAGAAATTTTAGGAGAGAAGTAAAATTGCGTTGGAGGCATACTTTTAAAAAAGCAACTATTTGTATATGCAAAGCTCGTAACGTATCTTTCGGGTGACGGCATTTTGTATTTTTCCATAGCCCTAAATTATCGTATGTTTTTTTTTAAATTCATATAGTTGAGTTTTTAGTTATTATTACTGGAATAGATTGAGAGTAACGTCTAGTCTGTTTTTAATTACATTACAGTTACCACTTTACGTCATGTGGACTAATGGTCTTATTGCCGTTTTCAGCAACACCATGTGATAAGAAGTTCACCTTCGTACTTTAGAACTCGGATGGACGCATACTACGCAGTTTTAGAGATTCTTCCTCCCACGAACTCTCAGCATATGGAATGAGATCCCTGTCGAGGTTTTCCAAAGAGACTAAAGCATGGAGTTCTTAAAAAAAGTGGTAATGAGGTTTCTTCAGGGTCGACAACGCGATACCCTTGGTATTGTAGGCGTTCATCGGCTACCGTTTATATAGTACATAGGTTGCCGTGTGGTCCCGGCATAGAAACCAAGGCCAGCCCTTCTTTTTCCGTGGGTGTCATAAGAGGCGACTAAGAGAAGGCGAGGGATGGGCAGCAGCGTCTCTCTTAAAACATCTCTAAAGCCTAACTGCGGTTGCCAATCTGCTTGCCAAACGTGGCAACTACTGGCAAAATTACCCAAAGGGGAGACATGTTCCACAGTGTACAGTAAAAGGCTGATATGATGTTGATGGTAGGCTACAGAAATACTACTCTTCACACCCACCATACCTCCCCTATAGATTACCATAAAGAATGGTTCAAACAGAGTATTAGCAGATTCTATTGACCATCTATGACACGTTTGATTTTGTTGGTCCATAATAGGTAGTGAGGGGGTTGCTTCACGTTGTGTTTGCTTGTATGTGGTGGTCAGCCGAGAACCATCATTTTTCCTCCATTGGACTCACTAATCTATTATTATTTTATCTTTTATAATTCCTTAAATTATTGGTAGAGGTAAAATTTAAAATACCATGTAATTTTAGAAACCTTTTATTTGGATGTAATAAAAACTTAGAAAATAAAATTACTATTTGTAGGTTAATAGATTCGTATAGTTAACATTTATTGATGATGAAATTTGAATGAAAGGAGATCTTTATTTTGGGCCAGATTCTTTTTTACACAATACAATCAATAGGAGGATTGTATTGCTAAAATATAATTTGATTTTCTAAAATATGCAAAATGTTATCTGATATGTTTTATCTAATTTAAAATAATGATGTGAGAATTTTATCGATTTAAATTATTTTAAAGAAAATTTAATAATTTAAAAATAATATTACAAAAATAGTTATTATTTTCAATAATAAAAAATCATCAACTACAATGTTAAATTTAGTTATTAATTATTTAATACAGTTGTTTTAATAAAAAGACATCTCAAGTTTTTACTAAAAAGAATAAGAAAAACGGAATAAAATAATACTGATGTATAATAATATAAATATAAAATTTATACTAAATTGTATTAAATATTATTTAATCTAGTTTAATACTGTGACGCGCCGCCTAGCTCTCACATTATAGCCTTTTGCAGCCTTCACTGAGATGGCCACATGTAATTTCAGGTTGTCCAAGCTCCCTTCAGCTTCAAACTGTACATGTCTCAGTACACGAATTACACACGTCTTGATAAGACACGTTGCATACACACGACCTGGAAGGTAACAGTATAAAATATAATAAGTACGTCTGATTGTTAAGAGCATTCATAAGTTTAGCTTGCCTAAGTGTGGCAACGTTGCCACTGTCTGTCAACTTTCAAAAACAATGGAACATTTGAAACAATGGAACAAGGTTTGCTGGAAGAAATCTCTTATTATAAGCTCGCCTTTGTACATTATGTTTAAAATTAATTGTTCTTAACATTATGCTTGTGTACAATAAAGAATAAAGAACATTTCATGGTATTCAGAAACCTATACATAATATTTGTAATATTTACTTAAAGAGTTATTTATTTTTTATTGCATAACAAAATTTGTACAAATTAAGCTCGCAATCTATTAAGATTATTATGGACATTAGTCCATATGGCATTCTGTATAAACTAATCATTATGTAAAAACAGAAAACGTTTGAAGTTAGGTATATACAATTCGTTCGTAGACATTTTTCGTAGAACTGCTACGCGATACAGTTACATGGTATTTATAAGTTTTTTGAACAAAGATAAACAGAGGATAACGCTCGATAGAATTTTTAAATTGCTTGAAAAAAAGAAGGTTCCTTATTCGCCATTTCGCGTAATTACATAACAGGGTACACAGAAATAACATCTGAGTCCTCAGGAATGGCAACGCATGGGGGGTATCATGGGCGAAACAGTATACTCTGTTATGTCCATGATACTGCTCATGTATATAGGCGACGGTTACCACTTTCCATCAGGTGGCCCGTCAGCTTGTTTGCCATTCTAAGTTGTATAAAAAAAAAACATACATTTGTATGTATCAGCCGTTAATTGTTCACAGCTGTAGTCAATCCGACTGCCAGTTGACACATCTGGCAGGCGGATTGGCAACCGCAGTTTGGTTTTTGGTGATGTTTAAAGAGGGATGCTGCTGCCCATCCCTCCACCACAAGCTACCTTAGTCGCCTCTTGCGACACCCACGGGAAAGGAAAAGGTGGCCTATTCTATGCCGAGACCTACAAGGCATAATTACATAATATAATCCTCACTAATATTGTGTGATAATGAAGTTGTATGTTACCGGGCGCCTTAACGGCTCTACCGATAGCCATAAAATTTGATATATAAGTAGTATTTAGAATGGAAAAGGACATAGGTTATTTTATGCTCACTAATTAATAAAAAAGATTAATAAATAAGGTCTATTACACACTAAACAATTACTTAAAAGACAAAAAGGCTTTAAATGTTTATGCATAAGATATTAAATTTAATAATTTACTCTGACATATCTGATTTAATTGTTTAACATACAATAGTATGTATGTATTAAGTATAATGTTTAATAATGGACTTCATTTTTTTAATAATTTAAATAACTATTTGTTTGCTAATCTATATTGACACAAATTTATACATAATTATAAAATCGACTTTTGTTGAAAAAATCAACCTGAAATTGTATTCGGAATATGCGGTAAGATATTAAAAAAAGACTATACAAAATACTTATAATTAAATTTTTTTGAATAAAAAAATATTCATTTCTAAAGTCGCTGATAGTTAAATAGTTTTTCTATAATTAAATTTAAGTAAGTAGGTATTCGTTGCATACCTAAACAATCCATAGTTCCCAAACTGAAAGGTATAAACGCGTTAGGATCACGTTTGCTGATGTTCTCCGGCAGAAATCTCTCAGGTTTAATCTTCAACGGTTCATCCCAGTACTGAGGATCTCGATGGATCTCGTGAATCGGGATGATCAGGGACGTTCCCACTGGTAATGTGATTTTACCTGGTAAAATAATAAATTTAATAACATAAATTAATAAGAAAAAATAAGTAACATAATAATTAACATGGACAATTGTTTATACGAAACAAGAATAGAAACAGCTGAATCGATAACGATAAGATTGTAAGAGTAAGATAAAGTATTGTAAGAGACACAATCTTAGATTTTAATGTATTTCATTTTTTTATGCAACCAGGAATTATAAACAATCTGATGGCCCACCATATGGACTGAACAGCACCATAGAGATCACAACATACACCATGACACGCGTGGCATATCTCATATTCCGCCGATGGGTATGACAGTATACTCTGTGCTGTCCATGGTGTTGTTTAAATCTATAGGCTGTAGAATCTTAAAAAATGACTAAAAATGATTGTAATTAAGTTTAAAGAAACATATTTAAATATTCTTATTCTTAGGCGACATTTACCACTATCTATCAGGTAGGCCGTCAGCTTGTTTCCATTTTTAAGTTTCATACAAAATAACTAAGGTATCAAACCTCTTTTGCCTTAACTAACTTTGATTATAGTTCTTAATAAGAATAAGGCCTTTTAACGTACATACCATCATTAATTGTTATTTCTTCTTCAACAGTTCTCTGGATTAGTGCAGCAATAGAGAAATATCTCAGTGTCTCCTTATATACCATATCTAGATATCGAAGTTTCTTTAAATCATTTTCATTAACATATTCATCATTAGGACCTAGCACTTCGATAATTTCTTGGTAAACTTTTTCCTGTTAAATAGTAAGTTAATTTATCAATAAATTAACATGTTTTTAAACCATACATATTGACAAATTAATATAATAATAATAATAAACTCTTTATTACCCACAGTAGAGATGTATACAAGGAGTATTTATACAAAAGGCGGCCTTATCGCTAAAAACAATCTCTTACAGACAATCTGGCATAAAGAATGGATAAGATAATATAATTAAATAATCTCCATTTTGTTTTTAACAAAATTGTGTAGATTGAGAATAGTACTGGCATTCTCTTTTTATGCAAAATTAAAACGAGTCTGTTTTAAAACAAAAACAAAAGAAATATCTTCGCCAATTCTCAATCAGCAAAAATACCAACCAAAGTTAAAGAACTCTATTTTTCATTACACTGTTTATTTATTTTGAGAATCTACTACTTTGAGATAAGGGGGAAAGGTATTGTTAGTAATGGATACTAACAGCCTCGTTGCTAGCAATACACCTAATCAGGTCGACCTCCACGCGGACTTGGAAAATCGTAGTTAATTATTGTTGAACTCTTCATGATTAGCTAAATGACCTGCCTTCATTATCACCTAGCATCCATCACTGACGCTACCATTCCATTTTTTATTCATTAAAAAAACTATCTTCAGATAGGTGTGACTGTAACAGTTAAATACTATAGAATTATTAATCTTTAATTGGATTCCTTTTGTCGTTTCGGGAATGCCCATACAAAATATTTGTTTTTTGCATAATTAGCTAACTAGCTTCGGTTGAAACCTAAGCTGCCACTAATCGTAGAAAGTTGGCGTATCGGAATCGTAAAAATTTAATTACTTAATAGTTTTTAATATTTTGACTGAGCCCTGCAGTGAGGCGAGACGTTCTGCGACGCTGCGAGTACTCTACTTACCCTGAAGAAGACTTCTGGATAAAGTCGAAATAATTGTAGGAAACAATGGACATAGTAATAAAGTTTCTGTTACACATACATATAGATTCCGAGATATCTAATTAAAATTATAAATATATCCTAAAGGTTGACTGTTAGAGAATGCTACTAGTATTAAGTCCACCTTTTGTACCATATTTTCTTTCGGACAATAAAGTTATTTAAATAAATAAATAAATATTTGCACACTGACCTGCCAATCGGGGAGATGCGCTAACAACATCAAAACTCCTGAAATGATCTTTGCTGAGGCTTCTTGACTCTGGAACATTGTAAATTATGTATTATCAAAGGGTTTATACTTTAGTTTACGGAAGTTTGGCAACATCGCAATTACCTGTCGATTTTTTAAAATTAAACATTATTTAGTATTTCTCATTAATTATTTAAAAAGTGCTTTTTAATAAGTTAGCAACGCATTTGTAAGTTCTTTGGTGTTAATGAACTGGGTTATATTTCCTAGCTTTAGTTATTCGTTTACTACTTCTTTTTAATAACTTAGAATGACAAACGTACTGATAATCAACTTGTTTGAAAGTGGTCGCCGTCACCTATAATCATAAACTGCACCATGGACATCACATACTATACCCATGTCTTTGCTCATGCGTTATCATTTCTAAGAACTATAGTGTTATGCCTTTGTAATTTCATTGCTATATCTCTCTTCAAACCAAAACACGACATTATAAGCACAATTGCTTTACGATAAGAACATGAATAGAATAAAAGTACTTAAGTAGAAGACTTGTACAAAATAGACATATAAGGGGGGAAAAGGATTGTTAGCAATGGAGTTCGACAGCCCCATTGCTTGCAATATACCTTATTAGGTAGACCTCCACGTGGTTCCCCCTGGAAACCATCGTGAACAATTCTTGTTGAATTCGTCACGAGGGGCTAACTGACCTACTTCATCCTTACCTATCATTCTTCACTGGTGCCCCGCCGGTGTATACCGATAGCGCGGGTAGGGTTACCATTCCATTATCATCCATTTAAAAAAAAATAGATATATTGTAAAACTTACGCTTTGTAACTACTTACGGTTGTGAACAATGTAAATATCTCATGCTTGATTTCCCTGTCGGTCAGTTCGCCATTAATATCGTATCTGTCCACTATACCTATCGCTTCTTCATCAGAATCCATTTTTAAGTCCTTCCTCCGTTTTTCCAATATATCCGATGTCAAATCATCGATCAATTTAATGAAATATCTCTCTTTAGCTTGTCCACCAGTGATCCAGTTCACAAACGGTATGGAAAGCCACCAATGGGTCATTTTTGTAAAGATATAGTCATATATGCTGTTACAAGTGAAAAAAGAAGTTTTTGTTCAAATAATATTGACTGCCACACAATTATACTCATCGCCTGATTCTAGGATACCCTGTGTTATGAGCAATAAGTAACAAACTTCTGGAAGCACAACCCAAAATATTCAGTAAAATAAAAATACTTTAAAACTGTCTCAAGTATCAAAAAAATTAGACACAAATATAGTCGGACTGAATCGAAATCTGAACCTTTTTAAGTCGATTGAAGTTGAGTAATCTAGTTTTAAATAACATGCAAAAAAAAATGTTATTCTATTATGATTGAATATAGACCGAAATCAAATTTATAGTCGACTTTTTAAGGAATCGTTAATAGGGGCACTTACGTTACTTACTTAGGTGTTTCTATTATAACTTCCTCCATGCGTTTTATGTTTCCCGAATCTTTCTTAGAAAGCCCCATGAGAGTTTCTGTAAGTGAAAATATAAGTAAACAAGCTAAAACCTTTCTTAGGGGGGTAGGAATTATTAGTAATGGGTCTTACAGCTCCATTGCTAGAAATATACCCTGTCAGGTCAACCTTCTCGTATACCCTGGAAACCATCGTGCTAAATTTCATATGTATTTAACACGATAGGTTAACCAACCTGTTATTTTTTATTCTCATCTGTCATCCCTAATTGGTGCCCCGCCAGCGTATAACGGTAGCGCAGGCGGGGTACTTATTATTATTATTATCCATCAAAAAAAATTTCTTGCAAAAGTTATAACATTTATTAAATCAATTTTTTAAAAGATTCGAAAATATAGTTTTGAATTAGTCACGCTGTTCCAAATAAGATGACTTCATCTTTAATCTGCAATCTGCAAATACATAGTACAAGTGGGATAATTTGTTTTTTAATGGGTGAAAATGAAAATGGAATGGTTACCCCGTTTGAGTTATCACTATACGTTTGAGAGGCCACGAGTGAGGTTGAAAATAGGTCAGATAATTTATCGTGACGAATTCTTCAAGAATTAAGCAATATGGTTTTCAGAGAGAACCGCGTGGAGGTCAGTCTGATAGACAATATATCTTGTATTGTAGTAGGTAAGTAATTATATACTTACGACATACACATTGCGTGGTGAATTTGACCACGTCTAAATAAACATCGAACGTCGTATTGGGATCTTTCATAATTAATACTTTAATTAATTCTTTAACTTCTTTGTTGAAAACAGTTGAATAATGAAGCACTGATTTCTTATTATATGATGGATTCGCTATTTTCCTGTGATTTCGCCATGTTGGCCCTGAAAATTGAATTTATTTATTTAATTATTTATTTAACTTTAATACACCTAGAAAGTGTAATCGACCGTAGACAGGAATAATAGAAAATATAATTGACGTGAGTACGTTCACTGTATTGTATAGATAACAATATTAATTTTATATATAATATTAATTTTATCACATATATATATATATATATATATATATATATATATATATATATATATATATATATATATATATATATATATATATATATATATATATATATATATATATATCAATAAAATTTATAATATGTATGCATATAATTTATTTTTTATTTTATTTTTATTTATTTATTTAACAAAGTATGTTTGTATTAGCACAGAATTTATCATTGCCTCCTACACTAGGCTGAGCCTGTCCTGTAGGAAGCAGTACTCGTGTTATCATATACATGCATATAGATTTTAAACATAGGCTTTTTAGCAGTACTGACAATTGTGTAACTAATCTGTATAATACAATTATTTTATTTATTTATTTTTTCTTTCTCTCACCACCAATACACATGTATAAATAAGTATTATGAATGAGTGTGTGTGCATGCGTGTGTGTGTGGTGTGTGTCTCTCTCTGTGTGTGTGTGTGTGTGTGTGTGTGTGTGTGTGTGTGTGTGTGTGTGTGTGTGTGTGTGTGTGTGTGTGTGTGTGTGTGTGTTTTTGTATGTATGTGACCAGTATTTTCATTTATATGATTAACAAGAGCATGTTTTCAGTATCGTATATAATATTTGCAAGTCCAAGCTATGTCAGACAATAGGTATTTATAACAACCAGGATTTTAGACTTGTAATTTTTTTTTATACAATTTAGAATGGAAACCAAGCTGAGTCTATAGAGAATGATTTATCGTGTTATAACAATAACACCATGAATGTCATAGTGCGTAGCATATCTATGGCGCCCTTCAATTTGTCATTCATTAGAACCACATGTTATAACCACGTAAGTACTTCATTATATTATCCGTCAACGGTCCACTGCTGAACATATGCCTTTCCCATAAGGGGGATTTGTGCCATTGTTGCCACGCTTGGTACATAATATAGATATTTAATTACACTGTATAAATACTTAAATCTCATTAATCATAAAACGAGCACTCAGGTTATGGAATGAGGTCTCTGCCGAGGTTTTCCCAAGAGACTACAGCATGGGGTTCTTCAAAAGGGGCGTAAAGAGGTTTCTTCAGCTTCGGCAACGCGCGCGTAATGCCTCTGGTATTGCAGGCGTTCATAGGCTACGGTAACCGCTTACTATCAGATGGGCCGTATGCTTGTTTGCCACCTCAGTGGTATAAAAAAAAATCATAAAAGAAATTATAATATTGTACCTCCAGTGAGAATTCCTTGCCCAATAAATGGCACCATAAAGTTATACAATGGGCCCTTCTGGTTCACTTTGTTACTCGTAAGCAGGAACTGTAATACAAGTCGGACTTATTTCTAATATTATTTCCTAACAGTCAACTTTAGGGAAGTAATAAAAAACATGAATATATGCTACGCGACTTAAATACATTTTCAACCGACGCCAAGTTCTCAATTCGGTTTGTATTTCTTTTTTATATTTGTTGCCTCATAACTTTGTAAATTTTAAAATCATCATCATTGTCATATCAGCAGTTATCTGTCCACTTTCTGAATATAGAGCTCCCCAATAGAGTGCCACAAATAACGGTCCTGAGCCAACTGCAACCACTGACTCCCTGCAATGTATTTGAAGTCATCCATGTAATGGGAGGTAGTCCTACACTGCGTTTACCGGGGGGAAAGGGATTGTTAGTAATGGAGACTGAGAATCCCATTGCTAGCAATATACCCAATCAGGTCGACCTCCTCGCGGTTCCCCCTGGAAACTATCATAGTTAATTCCTGTTGAGTTCATCATGATGTGCTAACTGGCCTGTTTTCATTCTCATCTATCACCCTTCACTGGTGCTCCGCCAGCGTATCCCGTTAGCGCATTTTCACCCATAAAAAAAAATACTGCGTTTACCCGTACGGGTCGGCACTCAAGAAATATATGACCACTACTTAAGAAGCTATGTGACCAGCCCATTGCCACTTCAGTTTGCTTATCCTTCAAACTATGTCGGACACTTTTGTTTTTATATTATAAATAATATAAAAACAAACTTTAAGAAACATACCCTGACATCATTAGGATTTTTCACACAAATATTGAGGTCCGGTCCCAACCAGAATTTAATATATTGACCATATTTTTCCAACAGGGCCGCTATTTTAATAAGTTGCTCTAAAAAAAAAGAAAACAATAACAATGTAGTCTTTTCGATTCCAATCACGTATTTTGTTTTGTTTATTTTGTGAATTGCATTAAGGAAAATTTTAATGCCTTCTACTTGAGTATTTTTGTCACGGATTAAATTAACAGCAACGTGATACCTAAATATGTACATACACGTATCTACAGACAGTTTTATTCATAAAAATTCTAGTAACTACTAAGAAAACTAATAAAAATTCTATATAGTACACCTATGTTCTAAAACATTGCCTAATATCATAGATTTAATTTCTTAAGTTTATTTAATTTTATTTCGTTAATGTTTATTAGACTGATTGATAGCGTACTTTACATTTTTATTTAGTACTAGCGATACACCGAGGTTTAATAATTTTTTTTTTTAAATAAAAAACAGTCCGTGTTATTCGCTGATAATGTAGTTTTCTATAGGTGAAAGCGTTTTTAAAATCGATTAAGTATTTATTGAGTTTATCAATTACAAACAAAATGTTTTTTACTGTAAAATGTTCCACGACTATGCAATTTAGAATAGTAAACAAATTGACGACTTACGTGGTGGAAAACAGTAACTGTTATCTATATATACGGGTATAAAAAAGAGGATCCTGATGGATTGTCTGGCTCATATATAAACGCAAAGCTTAAATTGTTAAATCTTGAAATTGTACAAATAAGTTTTGCATATATCGTAGGTAAGCTTTAAGAAATAAATTTTGAAAATTAAAGCCATAAGGGAGTAAAACGGGGCTTGTAAGTTTGTATGGAATTTCGCCAGTTTTAAAGTTAGACATGTGAATTTGAGTGAAGCTACGGCAAAAGCCAGTCTTTAATAATATGAAACTTATTATAGATATCACAGAATATACTCTAATAATTTTTTTAATTATAAATCTAACATATTATAAATCCTTACTAATATTATAAATGCGAAAATGAGTTGGTTTGTTTGTTACCTTATAGCGCCATAACCGCTTTTTTTATATAACTTAGAATGACAAACAAGCTGACGGCCCACCTGATGGAAAGTGCTAACCATCGCCTATAGACATGAGCAGTACCATGGACATAACAGAGTATACTATTTCGCCCATGATATCCCTGAGGACCGTTGCCATTCCTGAGGAATCAGGTGTTATTCCTCTGTATCCTGTAAATTCACGCCATATCCCATCCTTCCAAACCGAAACACAGCCTACAAACACAACTGCTTTACGGTAGAAACACGAATAAGGCAGAGGTACCAAAGCAATTGACTTTTGTACAAAGTCTCCCTCTGGTACCGCTTAACGAATTTCTATGAAATTTGGTATACACATACTTAATAAAATGAAGAAGGCTACAGGCTACTTGTTATCCCGGTCAGTAAATATATCACAGTCATACGGGCAAAATTACAGGTAAAAGCTAGTAACTTATAAACCGGAACTCTTAAGCAATTGGTATACCACGCATTGTTTAGCAGTTTACGCTATTTGGACGCGACAGTTTAATTATCTATGTCTAGGAATGCAATTAGTATCATCAGAAAATAGGTAAATAATTATATGTTCTGACTTACGCGGTCATTGTGACCTATAATTGCTTCCGACAGCTAACTGACGAAGTTTAAATAAACCCTATCAATAATAAATGTAAAAATCGATTCAGAATTGGCAACGTAATTTCGTAATATAGTTGCAAAAAATGTTAATGAATACATTGAGAAGCTTTTTGCGACTATTGTACTTGAACCATTTTTTGTTAGGGTAGGCAAAAAAAGCTTTTTTCCCAGCATATATCGATAGTGCAGACGGGATTACCACTCCATTATTACCCATAAAATGTTTTTTTTTAATGTGTCTATGATATTGATAACATGTCTATGATGGAGGGAAAGGGATTGTTAGTAATAGGGTCTAATTTCCTCATAACTAGCAATACCAGGTCGACCTCCACGCGGTTACTCCTGAAAACTTTTGTGATTAAGCTAGTGGAATTCGTCATGATTGGGTGACGGACCTGCTTTCATTCTCGCCTATCGCCCCTCACTGATGCCCCGTTAGTGTATACCGATAGCACAGACGGGGTTAACATTCCATTATTATCCATTAAAATAAAAATAGTATTTATCTACTCTGAATTCTACCACCGCAGGGAGAAGGTAATGAACATAAGTAATGAGCATTAGTTATCCTTTTGCAAGCAATATACCCTATCATGTCGATCTTTACGCGATCGCTCTGGAAACCACCTGGTGAATTCGTCACGATGGGCCAACTGAGCTGGGCTACCATGCAATGAATTTCTGAATTTTCGGACTTAATTTCGTGATTTTGTTTCGTTCGTGTAAACAAAAACACGAAACTAATTTTTCATTCGTGTAAATGAAGCTTACGATTTAACACAGTAATGATTTTTTACACACTTATAATATTTTTAAACGGTATATATTATGTAATCTTAGGTTCAAATTTGTTTCGTTCGGCTCCCAAATTTCGAAGCATATTTCATGGTAGACCCTTTGATTTCATTCTCCCTTATGATGATAATGATACACCAGGGGGCCTACCATGAAATGAAATTCCGAATTTTCGTGCTCAATTTCGTGTTTTTGTTTGTGCCTAAATCGACCCAATAAATGGAGCTTATCATTTCATTCATCATAAATCCTATCCTAATAGTCCAGAGGAACGATATTTTAATATTTTTAATAATTTTAAACGGCATGTATTATGTAATTTTAACATCAAATTTCTATTTTGTTCGTCTCCGAATTTTTGTAAAATATTTCATGGTAGGCCCTCAATACTCGATATCGTATAGCGCAGGCGCGGTTACTATTTCCATGTTCATCGCATAAAAAAATGCTTTATTTTACCAAACATCGGCCTCAAATGATTCATTATTTAAGAACATACTTACTTTCAGGTTGTGTCATAAATATCAAAGCATTCCCAACAATTGGCAGAGCCGGAGGGCCTGGTACCAGTTTGGCGAGCTCCAGCATCCTCTTATGTCTCCATCTCCAACATTGCCAATATACCAGCAACATTACAGCAGTTATGGTACCGAGCACAAAGTGTATTTCATTCATTGTACTTCCCTAAAGGAAGAATAACATGAATTATTCTCTACAATATATGGAATTACGATATGCAATTAAAACATTAGGCAAACAGTTGTGACGCTAAACCAGTTAGAATGATACAGACTGACGGCCCACCTGATGGAAAGTGGTAACCGTCGCCTATAGATATGAGTAGTACCATGGACATAACAGAGTATACTGTTTCGCCCATGATACCCCCCATGCGTTGCCATTCCTGAGGACTCAGGTGTTATTCCTCTGTACCCTGTAAATTCACGCCATTTCCCACCCTTCAAACCGAAACACAGTCATGCAAACACGACTGCTTCACGGTAGAAACACGAATGGGACAGAGGTACCCAAGCAATCGACTTTTGTACAAAGTCTCCCTCTGGTGTGTTGAATATAAGAATACATTATTATAGAAATGTCTAATATATTACACATCGATTGCTTCGATACTTACATTTACTATTATAATTTATATTAGATTTTTAATTTAATTTGTTCTTATTTTCTTATAATTCCAGAATCGATTTCTAGGAACCGACGTTAGGTTCATATATAGATATTTTATTAAAACATATTAATATATCAATAAGGAATAATAATAAATAAATTGACCACAAAGATGTTTTACGAGTATTTCTCTTTCACGAGCCCTACTCTCGCACCTAATATCCCAACATTCTCGATTAAGTATTAACCATTTCACTCGATTGAGATGTAAAAAAAATGTAAACGTATCCCAAAACTATGAATATTTGATACTAACAACAATAGTTAATTAGTTATTAGTATTATAATTTGTTATAAAAAAATAATAAAAAAACTTACCCTCTATTTTTAAAATATATTTCGTGTTATTTGGATAATAAATTATGTAAAAATATTAAAACAATTTGTGTTAAAACAATGTAACAAAAAATATATTTTACAAAACGCACTTTTTTATACAACAATACTTTTTTTTATTGTCACCACAACGTATCTACATGCTTCGCGAAGCAAGAAGGCACGCAATGTGGTCAACAAACAGATCGCTATCCGTGATAAATGTAGTCATGGTCACTTCAAAGGACTTTGTAATCTAAATGATCTAGATGACGTCCGCGATTCCATTTACAACTTTTGACAACCTCCGTGGTGCAATGATGAGCATGTTGCATTGCGTAAATGAGGTACTAGTTTTTGATTCCCGGTCGGGTCAATTTAGGAAAACGAACTTTTACAACTTGACTCGTGATTGGATGTTCTAGAATGTACCCCTCATATGTTCGTTCTCTGGTTCTTCATAACATAGGCTATTCGAGCTTGAGAACCAAGCGATTGGAGTGAGTGTGAGGCACTTATTAAAAAATATTCAAGTTTAGAATTTTATTACAAATTTCCAATTTTATTACCTTTATCCAAGTATATTAATATCTAATTTGTATCACGTGGCATGCGAATAAATATAAATAAATAAATAAATATTGGCCGTGTGGCCCCGGCATAGAATAGGCCACCCCTTCCTTTCCCATCCCTTATAAAGCATCTCCAAAGCTGACTGCGGTTGTCAATTCGCCTGCCAAGCTTAGCAATTATTAGCAAAATTTCCCATATACATTATACGGAAAAATATTTCTTGGCTGTTTTTGCGATCTGTTACTTGGGAGCCGTGGAGGTAGACCGGTTGACTGCGGCTACAGTTTCAGAAACCGGTGGTGTTGGAGTATCAGCTGGTTTATACTTTTTTTATGGGTGAAAATGGAATGGCAGCCCCGCCTGCGCTAACGGTATATGCTGGCGGGGTACCACTGAAGGGCGATCGATGAGAATGAAAATAGGCCAGTTAGCCCATCATGACGAACGGTGTCCAGAGAGAACCACGTGGAGGTCGACCTGGTTGGGTATATTGGTAGCAATGGGATTCTTAGTCTCCAATACTAACAATCCCTTTCCCCCCGCTGGTTTATACTTGGCAGTCAGCTTTTCCAATTCCTCGATTTTGAATAGTTTGATACGAGATCCGTTCGAGAGTTTAATGCTTATAACTCTGACAAAATTTGATTTTTTATTTTTAAATTGGTCACATTTTTATACATTAAAAAGTAAATGTTTTTTTTTGGAACTATACACAAGTGACATACACAGCATAATGTTGCAATAACGATAGTCGTGACAAAAATCTGTTTATATTCCAACAAATAAAAATTTCCTTTTTTTTAGGCCAAAACGTAACCAATTATTTTATGCAATATTGATTGTTTGGTAGTACAAAATATTTGTTTTTAGGTAAGTGATATTAAAGAAAGTAATATCAATTTTTAAAAAAATATTTGTAATTTGGGGTATAAAATTATATCTGGCAAACTCGTTGAAAGCAAATGTCAAATTTTAAAAAGTCAAAGTTTTTGAAATTGTTGACGGAACGGTTTTTTTGTTTAAAAATATTATTTATTCTAGTGTTTAAATAATATAGAATAAAATATCACATCTAAAAGAGTTGAAACAAAGGAAAGAAAGGTGAATATGATAAACAATCAACTCAATAGTACACTGTTCGTACAAATTGTACTTATTGAGTGACAGTATATGTTGTGTATATTTTGCTAATGAGGTATAAATTCTTTATTTTTCCAACATAAATCGGAATGCCCATATTTCAGATGCCAGCAGTATATACGTTTTCACGAAGCGATAACGAAATTCTTCAGGAGTTATTGCGAGTATTCAGTTCTGGTCGTGGTACAGCTCGCGAACAATGGGGCATGCAAGCTGAACTGCTAGTAGAGCCGATCGGATGGGACGCGCTATGGAAATTGTCCAAAGATTTCTGTAAAAAATTTGGTTAGTTACTTGAATTCAGATAACTTAGGCAGCTTAGTGTCTGTCCTTAGTCTCTTCCACTGAGGATTAAAGGACAAAAATGTTACATGAATACTTAAATAATTTAATGTATAAAATGAAAACTGTAACATAAGCTTCTTAAAAAGGGTGTAATAAGATTTCTTAAGGGGTGAGTAACATGTGGGTACATTACCCACAGGTGCTAAATACGGTCCAGCTGTGAGACCTGAATGCTTATATTAGCGCACCCCATTATCCAGATACGTTTAATGTCCCACCAGTTAGAGCTAATCTACTTCAGCATGCTCCCTTAACTCGTGCAGTATGGTTATTAAATAACATTATAAACATCATTAATATTTTTATTAGTATCCTGCCAAAGATATTAGAAATGGCTCACAAATATCTGGAGTCTAGTTAAATACTTTCATTGTAATTTTGTATGTTAGCACACTAGATTTATAACATTGATTTGACTTTTGTTGTCATGTTGTAATTGTTTTTAATGAATAAATAAATAAATAAATGTGTGAGATTGGACACCTAATTACTAATATGTTTGGTCCTGTATTTATAGACATGAATGTTTTCTTACAGTCGCGTCGGAAACTATTTGCGCATTGTAAAATGATCAAGAAATTTTATTTTAATTACAATTAGAGATAACTAAAAAGGAAAATTATGCACAGTCTCGAAGATTCATGTGTTTAAAAGAAAATAGACACATGTGGCTTATAAATTGTTGCTTGTAATAAACAAAATTAAATATTGATCATAATTAGTTAATTCGGAAAGTATTTGCGCCAAAAGTTTTTTTTTAGTTTTTCGTGTTTAAATTGTATATGTTACTAAAAAATAAGTGTTTTTTGAATGTTTATGTTTAGATTGACTTTACATCTCCTAAAATTTTAATTAATTAATTATTATAATATTAATATTCTTATCAGAATGCCAAAAAAAATATAATTAACGGTTCAAGAGTGTGAAATAACAATTAATATGAAAAATAATGGAATAAAAATTTCTGAGATTGCTGAAAACATGAGTATTCCACTAAGAACAATTCAAGATACAATTAAAAAAAATTCTGAACGAAATTCAACAAAGTCTTTGCCTCGAAGTGGCCGTAAACGCAAAACAAGTCAACAGAACAGACAAACGAATCGTTTGATTAGTGAAGGAGAATCTAAAGATAAGAGCTACAGAAATAAAGGAAACTTTAAATCTCGATCTGGTTATAATACAAATTAAGTTCAGGATTGTTGAAGCTGGATTTGTAGGCCGTATTGCCACACGAAAGCTATTTATTAGCGAAAAAAACGGAAAGGCGAGATACACAATTGCCATCGAACACCAAGATAAACCATTGGACTTTTGAAAAGCGATAATTTGGTCTGATAAGTTGAAATTTGATTGTATTGGATCAAAATGACGACAATATCTGTGGCGAAAACCAAATTCAGTGCTAGAATCGAAAAATCTTGTGGGTACTGTTAAGCACGGCGGTGGATCAGTACTTGTATGGGGATGTTTTTCATATAACGGTGTTGGAAATCTTCAGATTATTAAGGGCAGAATGACCGCAGACTCTTATATTAATATATTTGAAGATAATTTGAATTCATGATAAAATTAATGTTAATAAAATGAATTTTAATAATAACTGGATTTTTCAACAAGACAATGATCCTAAGCATAAGGCTAAAAAACTATGTTTTGGTTTGAACAAAAATAATTTAAACTACTGACTTGGCCTGTTTAAAGTCCTCATTTGAATCCCATAGAGCATCTATGGCATCATTTGCATGAAAATGTAAAGAAATCGGACCGACAAACAATTAAAAATTTTACAAATCGCCTTGAACAAGAATGGCATAATTTACCATTACAAGAACTACAAAATCTTGTCGAGAGTATCCCAAGGCACTTTCGAGCAGTCATCGCAACTAAAGACGGCCCTACAAAATACTAGAAATAATTTATTTCTAATTATAAACAATTTAAAATTAAATATTAAGTCAGCGCAAATAATTTCCGACTGCATGGATTTGAGAATATTTTGAATTTTTTTTAATTTATAAATAATTTTGATTTGCAAATACATTATCTGAATAATTAACACTATATTTCACTATTTTCTTAAATATCTTGAATAATTTGAATCATATTTAACACACAAATTCATTAAAATGTTATAAAATTTTGCGCGCAAATAGTTTCCGACGCGACTGTATATTATTAAAGTTTTGAATGTTCCAAAATATGAATTTAAATTTTTACTAACTGTTATGTTTAATCAATTATAACTTTTGTGTTAATATTTATGTTTCCAGAAGTGAGATTCCCATGTGTAGCCTATGTAACAGTAACATCAGTAGATTTTGAAAGTCTGTCAGCTTGTGTAGAAGTGCTCAGTGTGCAGCATGAAGCCGTATCATTGCCGGAAGCAGTTGGAGATGTTCCATTAATAGAACTCTGGCCCACAGTTGCACAGAGGGAACAATGTGTCAATGCAGCTACAACTGCAGAGTTCTTAGATCTATTACGGTAAATATATACTTAAATCTTAATCTTCAAATATCTATTATTGCATCATAGAACTAAAAGAATATTACTACTCTTCATTAGTATATTTAGAATTATTTTCTATGGGGAGCATGGCCCTTTAAGAAAAGTATATTTGCCCATAGTTGACAACCAAATATAGGCCTCCCCCATAAGGAAAGTTTTGCCAGCAGTTGCTACTCTTAGCACTTGCCAATCCACTTGGTGTTGGCATCTCAGTTAGGCTTTTGGTGATGTTTTAAGCGGGACACTATGGCTTATCTCTCAATGATTATGTTCATACTTTTTATAATTAATAAAAATGAAATGGTGATCCTCCCTGTAACATAGGTTTCACACTGGTGGAGTACCACTAAGAGATAATAGAATGCAAAGAAACCTTCAGTTGGTCCCTTAGGCAATAATTCAATAGCAATTAACATAAAGGTTTTCCAGAAAGAATACTAAGAATGTGACCTGTCTGGATATATTACTAATAAAGGGCCTGCTAGCTTACAATCTCCTTCTCCATGTTTGGCTCAAACTAATTGTTGCTCTATAGTGACTGAAAGTTGACATTTTTATTTTTCCATTATGGAAAAACAACCATTAAAACCCATGGAAAAAAATAAGGGGTAATGAAGGTCATACTTTGATACATTTATTAAAAATATCTGTCATAAAAATGTCAACTTTCAGTCACTATAGAGCAACAATTAGTTTGAGCCAAACATGGAGAAGGAGATTGTAAGCTTGCAGGCCCTTTATTAGTAATATATCCAGACAGGTCACATTCTTAGGATTCTCTCTGGAAAACCTTGTTGTTAATTGCTATTGAATTATTGCCTAAGGGACCAATTAAAGTGTTTTTTTTTTCATTCTATCATCTCTTAGTGGTACTCTACCAATGTGAAACTTATGTTACAGGCAGGATCACCATTCCATTGTTATTAATTAGAAAAGTATTAGCATGTGGTCATATGTTTTACAATGCTTACAGTTTCTTCTATAATGATATTTGGATGCCATGGGATGATGACCAAGATAAAGTCTTGCTTCCAAATACAATTCAAGACAGAATGCAACTCTGGTCTGAAATACACAATGGTACTATCCCAAACTGTGTGGCTCGTTCCATATTACTGTTAAGGAATAGTGCAATAAGTGCTCATGAAAAGTTGAAAGAGTTGGATACTTCTCTGTGCGAACTTGATATACCTGATGAAGATGGTAAGATACTTATAAATTTAATAACTTAAAGATACTTAATTTATAAGAATAGAATTATGGTAATAATATGTCATTTTAATGGGTTAAAGATGCCAGTTACTGCACTGGTGATTACTGTTATATATCAAAAGGTATGTATTTTATATTTATCAGATGAAAGTATTTTTTATGAAAGTGCTTCTTTAGTTTCAAGACTATTTGGGACTCTGCATCTGAATTATAAGGTGTTCTTACAAAACCTAAAATTGTAATACAACATAAAATTGTAACTGGACAATGTCTGTACATGTTATGAGTAATATGGATACTGATGTGATATCTATATATTGGGTTCCTTTGGATATTGAGGGCAGAAAAAAGGTCATATTCCATTTTGATATCGCCCATATTGGTGGGCTATTTTCGAATATGTTAAAATTCTTTTATATAATATTATTTTTTGGACAGCAGACTTTTAACATATTTATTATTTGACCAGTACATAGATGTTGTCACTGTAATATATAGATATTCCTATATATTATATATGTGAGTGATATTTAAAAATCCTTGATATGAAGGATTTTAATAGAAATAAAAGTTGCCATAACAATACTTTTTACGATTTTTCTTTGCTTATTTGTTCTGGCATCATGCAAAAACTGTTTATTTTCCTATACACATTATCTAAAAATGATAATAAATTAATTTATTTGCTAAAGATAGATAAAACTCTATAACATTTCATTTCAGATTCATTACTACCTCCAAGCTACATATCTCTGTGTGCAGAGATGAACGCGCGGTTAGATGGGCTAATGTCGAAATGGACACTCTACGAGAATCCGCTAATTAGAGAACAGTACTTGGCCAAAGCAAAAAGTAAATGGCAAAAGAACAAGAATAAAAAGCATGTTAGTAGCATCAGCCTTTAAATATTACTTTTATCATCATAATTATGTCAGCGTTAACTGTCCACTACTATACATATTCCTCCTCCATCTATTTTAGGTTTTGTTTTATACAACTTAGAATGGCAAACAAGCTGATGGCCCACCTAATGTAAGGTGGTAACCTTCGCCTATAGATATGAGCAGTACCATGGACATAACAGAGTATACTGTTTCGCCCGTGATACCCCCATGCGATTGACAATAGTTGTCACGCTTGGCAGTCAGATTGGTAACGGCAGTTAGATTTTGGTGATGTTTTAAGAGAGACGCTGCTGCTCATCCCTCAATTTCGGCCTTAGCATATCTGGTACTAATCCATCCAAGCATATGAGTTTTGTATAAAGTCTTTCTGTGCTATATTTTAATTATTATTATTTGTTATGAAATCTTATTGTCAAAATAATTGCTTAATATAAATTAATACCTAAACAGTTTACTGTACTACTAAAAAGCTATGTTACTTTCAGTAAGCATTTATTTGGCAACACGATTCCTGTTTCCTACAGAATCAATGTGAAACTATGCTGATACAAACATACTGTGATAATAAATAAATTTTTACTTTTATTACATTCTTTTATTCCAGGTCATTGCACTTTGGCAGGGTGGTTCGCCGCTCGAGTTCAATGAAATATCCAAATTCTTGCGTTCTCGACTGTCAAATGAGCACACTCTGACCATGATGGTCTCGGCTGAGGAGGGACTAGCACTGGAGCCTGAAGAGTTGGTGGTTTGCAGTAAAGTGTATGAAATTCCCGAGATGCCACTATCACAGATATCTGTGTGTAGTTTGAATGGTAAGTTGCTTTTATTTTTTTTATATCACAAAGTTGGCAAACAACCATTATAGCCTGTTTGATGGTAAATAGTTACTGTTGTCTATGGATGCCTGCAACACTACTTGTTTGTGATAATAAAAGTGACCATTGTGATGTTGGATTTATACATACAAAGTATAGCCAAATTTTTGTTTTTCTATAAAAACACATATTCTTAATGATAATAATGGAATGGTAACCTTGCCGGCGCTATCGGTATACCCTGTCGGAGCACCAGTAAATGGTGATAGATGAGGATGGTCAGTTAGCCCATTGTGACGGATTCAACTAGAATTAATCACAATAGTTTCTAGGGGAAACGCATGGAGGTTGACCTAATAGGTTAATTGCTGGCGATTGGGGTTAACGTCCCCACTACTAAGAATCCTTCTCCTGCATCAATTGACTCTTTGCAATGCATTTCAGGTCGTCTCTCCATCTAATGGAGTGTCATGCTACACTGAGTTTTCTGTACGAGGTTGGCACTCAAGAACCTTTCTTCCCCATGGGTTGTCTGTTTTTTGAGCTATGTGACCAACCCATTCCCACTTCAGATTTTTTATCTTTCGACTGTATGTATTACATATTATATTTATGATCAATGTATATTTGTATTATGTTGTTTTGTACAGGTTCGACGCTGAAAGCTGCTGATATGAGGTCATGTTTATTTATGTTAAGCGAAGAGTGCAGATTGCGCGAACTGACCCTCCACTGCGCGCTTGTGAACACAATTGTAGTGATGCGAGCGGGCACGCTACACATCAGCGATTGCACGTTTTTAGATGACTCTGAGAATTCACAGGTAAGATACCACTGGATACGGGGGAGGCCTATATTTAGCAGTGGACAGTTAAGGACTGATATAATAATGTTTATTTGAATTTAAATATAATAACATTCTAGTGCCATATAGTATCAAACTAACTACCTTTTCCATAAAATTTAAATACTAGAAATCTTTTTTAATTATTAGTATGTTTTGTTTTTTACTTTCAGACGAAGTCTTGTCAGAAAAATATTAATAGCTACAAATAGATTTATGTAAGACGTTTAATGTGTTTTTTTATGCAACTTAGAATGGCAAACAAGCTGACGGTCCATCTGATGGAAAGTAGTAACCGTTGCCTATAGACATGAGCAATACCATGGACATAACAGAGTATACTGTTTCGCCCATGATACCCCCCTGTGTTGCCATTCCTGAGGACTCGGGTGTTATTCCTCTGTACCCTGTAAATTCAAATTTATTGAATAAATGTAGACATATACTGAGAGTACTAGATAAGTGAGAGAAATTCTTAAATATTTTTTATACATATAATATAATAGATTCATATGGTATTTTAACGTTTTTCTTCTATGCTTGTTGCAGAGGGATTTCGCACAAGGAATTGTGGCGATGTCTGGCGCTAACATACTATTAGAAAACTGTACATTTGTTAATTTTTATTCAGCTATTGTTGTACACAAGGGTGCTAAAGTAAGTACAAGCTTGTTTATAATGTTAACAGTCTCTTTAGACAAACATCCCAATCATTGGCGGACTAATTTTTCATACATATCCCTATTCTATGTATGTTTATTTAATTTAAATTTCACTTGCAAGATTTTAACTAAATAAACAAACACTTATACATACAAATGAGAATTGAATAAAAAGTAACATTACATCAACTTCTTAAACTGGGGGTCTCATTCCGCTTTGCCGATCTGGGCCTCTGACGGGCTTATCCTGCCACTGATTTCAATGGTGAAATGTAACCTACTCTTACATATTTAAGCATTAGCGTATTTAGGATGGGGATATAGAGGGGGGATGCCCACTCCCAAATTGTCAGGTGTCCATCTCAGGTTTAAGCAACTTCGAAAGGAAAATCAGAAAATAAATAAACATGCAATTTGATTTTCAAAATTCAAATATTTTTAATGTTTAATCATATAGTTCTTTATCAGTGTGTATAAAGTAAACTTTTGAGCAGAATGTACTGTTTAGTTTCTGGGTATTAACTATTATTTTTAAATATCAATATTTAGATCCCATATTTTTTAGGAATTAAGTTCTCTTATATCACATGACTGAAGTTGTCGGAAAATTAATTTTCTATTAATATAAATATTTTCAGGTTGAATTACGCAAGTGCCTAATAAAGGAATGTGATGTTGGTGTGCAGATGTACTCTGGCTCCACAGTAACCATAAACAGCACCACAATAACTAATTGCACCGAGAATTGCATACGATGTGAAGTGGACAGAAATACTACGGTCAAACAGAACATGTTAGTATAAAGATAAATTTATTTGCTAATATTAGCGCATAAAATGTTCTTCAAAGGACACTGACACTTTTAAGTGCTCTACAAAGTCAATTTATACTATTGTATTGTGAGGAGTCTGCTCTTTATCTATGTTTTACACCAGTTACACTAAATAAATAAATAATAAACAAATCTGCTACTATAATCAGTATTAATTCGGTTTCATTATTATATATGAGTGATTTTAATTTTATTTATTTATAAATATGTAACAGAGTTGTTTAAATAGTGTATATATATATATATATATATATATATATATATATATATATATATATATATATATAATATATAATAGTACATATAGCATTATATCGAATACTAGGTCGCCTGTTGCATTTTTTATTGTACCTCCCCTACCTGCTATACCATCACTGCAGTGATAGTATGAAAATACAATGTTTATCGTCTTTTTTTTTCTCACAATCAAAATAAATAATAGATTAGTTTGCCAATTGTATAAAGCTTCTTGTGGGGTAGCCAGAGTGGAACAAGCGCGATAGGCCTTTCATAATATCATATCAGCTGTTAATTCTTCATGGCTGAACAAAGCCCCCATAAGGGGTTGGGGGGGTTGCCAGTAGCTACCATCAACTGCAGATAGGCTTTTGGTATTGTTTTAAGAGGAACACTGTCGTCCATCCCTCGCCCTCTTTTAGTTGGCTCTTATGACACCCACGGGTAAGGAAGGGGTGGGTCATTCTATGCTGGTAGCCACAGATTTTTATTTGTATATATATTTCATACTTAGTTCACTTCAACTCTTCTTATACATTGTTACAAACCTGAGACTCATGATTCTTCTAGTTCTCATTGCTTATATTCTTTATTAACTTACAGCTTATCTCTCTTCTATTATGTTTAAAATAAGATAATAATGTCTGTGTATACTTTGTCCCCAGAATGGAAGGATTGCAAGTAATGTCGAACTGCACAATTGGCTCTGGCAACTTACAAAAAGAAATATTGGTCGTTCAGCAAGATTTCGATTTATTGTAGCTCTTAAAACCACGTAATAAGGTATATTCAAATTAAAATGCAACTTGTATGATATGAAAGAATTGTATAAAATGTAAACAGCTAAAATAATAAAATACAAACGAGACCCTTCTAAGGGAGCGTCCAATGATTACGTGAGCTTGAGATGGGAGTGGAAGAGATCTGGAATCTCATTTAAGTATGTGGGGAAGCAGGTCAATGAATTTTCATTAATATTCAGTGCATTTTTTTTTCTTCTTTAACTGCAATAACTAATCGAAGCAAAAATACGTCAACAAATGTTATTAATCTCTTATTTAAAGTCTCAAAGGATCATCTCAAGGACATCTCAAGTGTCCTACAAACTTTGTATTTTTTCCCAATGTCCTCTACCCAAAGATTGTCTGGAGAGATAGCTTAGTGATAAGGTCCACTTTTGTAGCACTTCTCATTAAAATTCACTGTAGTTATTATTTTATAAATGTTGCAATAAAGTGTAAAATTAATAAATAAACTACTTATTATTTTTAATAGCAAACAGTAATAAGTTTTATATAAAGTCATTTTATATAATCACTTGTGATATTTCACACAAATATTCGCTGTGAAAACGAATAGTTATGTCATCATACGATAATTAATAAATAGCATTCATAATCTACGCCTATTGAATTAAACTTCTGTGTTTGTATTGCGTGGCGTCGAGTTACTACTTTCTACCGCGTAATGCGACCGAGAGTATCCAGTTTGATGTATTGGCGATCTGTCGCGGATGACGTTATGACGACGGCGACTGAAGTTACGTTAAACACAGATTCATTACACATATTATGTACGTCTATCAAAACACGTCGGTTTTTCATATAAAGAAATCGTATTAAATAATACCAATATTGTGCAGGAAGTATATCGTTTTATCGATTAGTACCTTTAGATACCGATAATTTCAAGTAGATACCCTTCTGATTTTTTCCAGAAGATTGTAGTAGTTAATTTGGCAATATATATATGTATATATGTATATGTATATAGCACTTGTTGATGCATTTATAAATATTATGAGCAAGGGTGGACTTAGCTCTGACAGAGATCTCTTCCAGTCAACCCATAAATTTCTAATAATATTTAGAATACATAAACAAATATATGTATATAATAAACGATAACACAAAAAATTATAGGGGGCCTTACCGCTTAAAGGATCTCTCTCAGTAAATACATAAATAAGTAATCCGTAAATATAACTGCGCTCCCTTGTTCGCGTGTACTATAATAAAGTTTCATCACAATTAAAATAAAATTATTTCATGTTGATGCTGGAGATATTTATAAAAGATAAAATAAATAATACACAATGTTTTTTACACTTTTTTATTAAGCCGCCTGTTAATAATTACAATTAATACTTGATAAGACAATTATCTCAGAATTAATCGTTACCCGACTACTGCGAAGTAAAAAGAAGGATTATTTAAACTGTTTATTGCCATTATTTGTCCATATTTGGCTCAATTTATTGTGAAAATTTCCACATAATCAATGTGAAAGTTTTTAAAATAAAAGCTAATATCCACGGTACAGTATCAAATATTCTAGATTCCACGAGACAGGTTAATACTATTGAGGACTTTTAAGACCAAAAAAGGAATAGGACCTATTGTGCATTGTTTATTGAGGAAAGAAATCAACCATCTTTTCTATGGATTCCATGTATTCTATTGTCAGTTTTAATATTAAATGTAAAAGAGAGTTAATTTGTTACATTTTATCTTAACGTCTAAACCAATCGCCATGAGACTGACGATGAGAACGACATGTATTTCCTATTATTCCATATTCCTGATAAATTTATCCAGTTACGCAGACGAAGTCGCAGGTAAAGATTAGTTTTCAATAAACACTTTTGTAAAAGTCCATGCACACTTCACGTAATGAATTAATTAATGATAGTTTTTTTTTTTTATTTAAATATCTGTGTTGTATAAAATATTTCTATTATGTCCATTTATTACAAATGTTGCCATTAACCAAACATTGTTGAAAGTATTATAAAAAAGGAAATAAATGTTGATAAAAATATATGTTTTTTTAATTTATCTTTGTGTTTCAATTATTTATAATAATAAATATTATGAATATTATAACTAATTAACTATTTATTTCACTCGAAAAATAATATTATTTTGAAACATATTTATAGAAAAATTTTAACATAATTTATATGTATCATGCTTAGATTATATAGTTAGAGTATCTCCATAGAAACTTCGAGAAAAGCGTGTCAACTTTTTCATACAATTTTGCGTGATAAATAGTTATGACTGTTACCTTTATATCTTCTATATTTATTTTGTTTAATAATTTTTGCATCTTTTTAATGGGTAAAAACGCATTTATTAAATAATTAAATATAGATACGTCAAGATATATTATGTGCGTAAGTATGTAGAACATGAATAATAAACAAGTCAGATAATTTGACAATTAGCTGACAAAAATTCGAATCGTTTTTGAGACTCGATGCTCTATCTATATAATCTGAGGTACCAGTTAAGGTATCAAATTAGATTAGTGAGTCTAATAGCGACTAACAAATAATAATAATAGAATCATTATCATCATCATCATCATCATATCAGCCGTCAACTGTCCATTGCTGAACATAGGCCTCCTCCTATTGTGGGCTTTTGCAAATAGTTGCTATTCTTGGCAGGCGAGTTGGCAACCGCAGTTAAGCTTTAGTAACTTTTAAACTCATTCCTCTAATTTTTAAGTTCCCATAGTCGCTTCTTACAACATTCACGGTAAGAAGGGGTAGTCTATGCTGCGACTACACGGTGAATAATAGAATATTTTTTTTTATTCACAACACTTGTTCCAAAAACTAATTCACCTTTTTTTATCTTGGAAATGTTTATTTATGTATGTATGTTTTTATACATTCACTTTTAATATAAATTTTAATGGGCGATAATGGAATTATAACCCCGCCTTCGCTATCGGTATTACACTGGCGAGACACCAGTGAATGATAATAGGTGAGGATGAAGCAGGTCAGTTAGTATATAGTGACGAATTCAACAAGAATTAGTCCCAATGGTTTCTAGAGGGAACCACGTGGAGTTCGACCTAATAAGGGCCAGCAATGGGGCCGTCAAATTCCATTACTTAGGTATTACCAGAGGGAGACTGTACAAAATTCGTTTGCTTGGGCACCTCTGTCCCATTCGTGTTTCTACCGTGAAGCAGTTTTGTTTCTGCCGTGAATTTGTATGGCTATGTTTGGGTTTGAAGGGTGGGATATGGCAGTGAATTTACAGGGTGCAGAGAAATAACACCTGAGTCCTCAGGAATGACAACGTATAAATAAGCGTAATATATATGGTAAAAAAAAAAAAAAATTATTAGTATCTACATAGTAACAGAGTCAATTGTAAATTATTTCATTACTGATATTCGCTGGCACTTACGTAAAAAAAATCTCGCTAATGTCCATGGGAGTATTACCAAATCATGTCATATATAAATGGCCACTTTGTTAGTTGCATTACAGTATAAGTAATAGTACCTATTTATACGCTCCAACGCGACGGAAGAGCGGACGTGAATAATGATATCAATCGTAAATAATGTCAATTAAGCATCCACTGTAACCAATTAGTTATGGAATTCTAATAATATATTTATTTAAATGTATAAATTTCCGGGTTTAAAGTCCTCTGTCCCATATGTACATCACTTCTAGTTGACGAAGGTCGCGCTCGCAATTTTTTGATAACTAAATCTATCGTCTATGCTAAACTAGTTATGACATACGTGAAGTTTTATACGAGAGATATATAAATATACCTAAACGTGAACTATCCATTATGCTAAACTACGAGTACAGTGCTACCGTCACAGGTTAAACATAGTGCTAGCGCGGCAGTGATAATATTTAGTGAATAATAAATAAAAATAAAAAAGCCTATTAGCGGTTTTATAAAAAAATGGGTAGTGTAATATGGGAGGATTTAACTAACAAAGATCATCTTGGCCATTTGTTTATGCTTAGCATGAAGAAACGACCAGATGCTGTGTGTCAGGTAAGATTAATATACAAATAAGGATTTATCCTAATTCATGCAATTAAATCTACGAGTTATTACTAAGTATGTTTTAAGTTCTAATAAATAATAAAATCGATTCTAAATTCCTATCTCCAATTATAAATATTTTAAGTTAATAGTTTCGTTCTATTTTATAATTTAAATTTGTAATCATTTTAATTAGATATTAATTTATAAATTAATTCATTATTTAAATTTTTAATTAGACATTAATTCATAAAAAATAAATTTTTAATTTATAAATTAAATAAATTAAAATCCATTCAGTAACTTTTTTGTGAGTGAGTGAGTGAAAGAGTAACAAACATTCATTCATGCATCCTGACAAACTTTCTCCGTTACAATTGTTTTTTTTATTTGCTTTAAAATAAAATTGAATAGTTTAAAGAACGGTGACTCAGAATCGACCCAGATATATAAATCTATTATTACCTTCATTGTGGTACAAGCTATTTCCGGATATTTGCCCGAGACAATAAGACTTTAAGAAATCTAATTATTATTATAAAGTTTTCTTGTTTAATTCTTTTAAATGCATTAAAATAGAAGGGAAATCCACCAGCGCTATTAGTTTATGCATATCAGGAATAAATAATAGATAAAGTTGAAGTCAAGTCGGTCGGCCTATTGTGACGAATTTATTGTAAACTAGCGGCCCGTCCCGGCGTCGCACGGATGGATATTTTTACATTTTAAAAAGTGGCCATTAAGGGTGCTCACGCGACAGAAGCTTAAAAATGTAGTAACTTCTCCCGTTTTCTTAACATTCCCCTTTACTGCTCAGCTCCTATTGATCGTAGCGTGATGAAAAGTATACTATAACCTGCCCAGGAGTATGAAGAATAATTGTACCTAGTTTCGTTAAAATCCTTCGAGTAGTTTTTGTTTCTATAACGAACATACAGACAGACAGACAAAAATTTTACTGATTGCATTTTGGCATCAGTATCGATCACTAATCACCCCCTGATAGTTATTTTGGAAATATATTTCATGTACAGAATTGACCTCTCTACAGATTTATTATACTCGTAAGTATAGATATAGATAGATTAACCGCGCTCGTCTAGGTGATTAGTTTCCATTACTAATAGTAATAATTCCTTTCCCTGTTTTTTTTTTTTTGTATTCATATATATTGTGCAATAACAATCGTGCTGTTTATTTTAGCTCTGAGCTTATGAGTAAGGTGATGCAATTTGTTTTTTATATACAATTACAACACATTTTTTTTACAAATGAAATGAATTTTAATTATTTGCTATTGAAACTAAAGTGTTCTGTTCCTATATGTTCGTAGTTATTAAATTTCATACATACATATCTGTCACGCCTGTCTCCCATTAGGGTAGGCAGAAACAATGGAACGCCAAATGCTTCGATTCAAACAAACCTCTTTCGCTTCTTCCACATTCATCAATCTTGTCATACACGCTCGTCGGTTACGGGTACTTTTAATTTGGCCCTTCTTCAGCACGTCGCCTATTTGGTCGACATACGTCCGTCTAGGGCGGCCCCTACCGACATCTCCATTCATTCTTGCTCGATAAATCTCTTTCGTAATTCTTCTTTCATCCATCCTCTCCAAATGACCAAACCAACCAATTAAATTTCATTATTATATTTATCTCATACTTATCTCATACATAAATCATTTACCAGTGTTTAATCTGAGTTATGTACAATAAAGATTTTACAATACAATACAATATAATACTTTTAAATTAAACACATCTAAACAAACATACTACATGCTTGGCGTCAGAATTAATACACTAGGTCAATGACTTTGTCAATGAATTAAGTATGACAATGTAGATAGTTGTGTTTTGCCGAATTTATTTTAATTTTGTATAAAAATAATAGTCGTGTCTATGTGGGGGTATAGATATCTAGTCCAACTGTGGGGTGCGCCTCTGGATAAAATATTGATGTTATTTCCGAGCGATGGAGTGTGATGAGGTGATAAATGATGAAAACATGGATTTAAGTAGAGAAATAGACAATTAATTATACAGCGACCAAGTATTAAGACAACGGCAAAAGATACAAAATATAAATTAAAACATTTTAAAAGTAAATGTGTAAAAGAGTATATAAAAACCTTCAACTCAAACCCAGTTATTTTGATCTAAAAACTAAACTACTAAACTGATTTTGTTAAAATTTCTATGGAACCAATCTGTAAGTATATGCTTACAGATAAAAAAGTATTTTTCGAATCAGTTTACAGCTAATGGAATTATGAAGTAACAGACAAAAAAAAAGTACAACCGAATTGAGAGCCTCGTTTTTTTAAGTCGGTTGAAAAGGAGTTTGCGTCGGCCGGTCGCCAACTGATATCATTTGTACTGCTGGACCGGAACAGCAGCAGTTATCGTACATTGGGAGTAGTGTTGTCTATGCATGTGTAGTTTTCCACACAGCTATGTGTAATGTGTACATACGTGCAAAATGGCGCTTTGTGTATACACAAACATAGGTACATCGTTGTACATTATACTTGTTATACTACACTCGACGATATAATTATCCAATTAAGCACTTCCTCCAGTTTTCCTGAAGTTGGTCTCATTTGAAAATGTATTACAAACAGATATTAATGTACGTGTATTATGTATAGTATACCTACATATCTTTATTTGTTCTATATAAGTGTGTAGCTACTATGGTATGCTGTGAAATATGCTTGTAAATCTTTAGCAGATTTAGGCTATATGTTATCTATCGAAACGATAAACTCTTGTGGGCATGTATGTTCACAATCATCTATTTCCTATATACATGAGAGGTCTTGCACTAGTGAGAAACGAGATATTCTGGATGCACTAATAAATACACTAAAATTTTAATGAGTAGTGATACAAAAGGCGGGCTTCCAGACAACCTTGTACAGGACATTGAAAAAAAACAAGGAATAAAAAAAAAATTGCCTATGTTTTCATTTGGGATAATCTATTACAAGGAGTAAG